CGATGCCAAATTACCAAGGGGATAATCACTCCGAAAAAGAGTGTACACTAGATTTCAAAATTTCTAAGATTTCTGAAGTCTTTTTAGGACTTCAAGGCAATTCATAGGATTTCAAAAGATTTGAATCGAGTAAAATGCTTGTTTCTTCATTTTTCTTGTTTTTATCTTCAAAATGCCCCTTGTGCCGTAATTTTCATACGATTTTAGATTTTTTTAAATGTTCATTACACTGCAAAGAATAAAGTTAAGCATCCGTTTTACTTTATTGGCGTCTCTAGAGTAGAGTCAAATTTATGAAATTCAAAATTCATTTATTCATGATCTATTGCGAATGAAGTAAAACCGATATATGCTTAACTTTATTCTTTGCAGTGTAACGAACGTTTAAAAAAAAGCGAAAATCGTATGAAAACGACGAGCTTTTTGAAGGTAAAAATAGGAAAACATGAATTTTCTCGTGGCTATATGGGGCAAAATCGATCGGGTCCGCGACTTTCCCTAGTTATTCCCACATTCCGTCATATATCAGAAATTATTCAATGGGTCCGAAGGCCCAGTAAAGACTTTTAAATGTTACCGATGTATCTCATTAACATTGAACGATCCAAACAATAAATTGTCGGATAAGTCTGACGCTGAAATGACTGATAGAGGTGTTGAAAATGTTATGAAGCACTCTTGGACATGAAACGAATGGAACGAAGCCTGAAAAAATTCTAGAGTATATGGAGAAAATCTCGGAAAGGGATGAGGAAATATTCCAAGAACCCCTAGAGCCACTGCTAGACCAGCTGCTACCACTTTACAAAATGAGGAGAACCAGTCTGGGTCCAGAATTTAAAGAAAAATTGAATGAATCCTGTCAAGAATTTGAGAAGATGGTTGAGTTACAGAACCAGTCCAAACCCCTAATCAATTCAACCGACGAAGTGATATAGTTTACATGAGACAGTAGTGTAGCTTCATGTGTGTCGGAAGGAAAAAAAAACCGAAAAAACCGATTATCAGAAGACTTTTGGCTTTCTCATATATTGTTGGTAAAGATAAACAATTGCAATACTCAATGTCAAGTGCACCAACGCAATCCCGGATGAAAGATTCCAAAGCTATCATGTGTGTATGTTCTCCATGGCACGAGATTGAGAACAACCAGCTTGGAGTGAGTTCAGAGAGACCGTCTTGGTGTGATCTCAAAACTTATGGATGTCCTCTTCTTGGGTCCATTCATTACGAATATAATGCAAGTATTATACAAAGAATCAGGTCCATTATTACGTAAATAAATACTCAAGTTACTATTAATGTACACGGAAAGAAATTTTCTAGAAAAATTCTAGTACGAGCACTGGAAAAAATCACAATCCACCGGCTGTGAAAAATTCTAGTGCTGTTAAGGTAAAATTTCTGGGGATTTCTGTGAAATTTTGACAGAAATACGGGGAAAAATTCTCGTTTTCCCCAATAAAATTTTTAGTGCCGACACTGGAATTTTTTCCTGGCCGTCACTTTGCGCCTCTTTTCCCGTGCTAGCACTAAAATTTTTCTAAAAACTCTCTCTCTGTGTACTCGTTTGAGTAATCTCGTCGAAATATAATAAAAAAGGATACTAAAATTATTCCAGGTTACATAATTCTTCATTTACCTTCACCTCAATAGTTTTTGATGAATTCGAAATGGTATTTCAAAAGATTCTACGGGATTTATGAATTCCTTCTCAAAATTTCATGAATTCCTCATCACAGTCAGCGATCGGTCGACAATTATTACATTTGTAATATTTGATAATATTATTAGAATCTGCACCTTTCTATTACTACGGTTATTTTATCTTAATTGAAATTAAAAAATAATAAAATAATTGGTAATTTAAACGTTCTATAAACTATTGAGTAAATAATTCTGAATTTCATAAAAGGATTTTTTCGATTAGATATGCAATGGTCAATCTTCTGATACGATTACTGGTTGATAGATTATTTCGGAATTTGAATAACGTGGCGGCCCCAGTTTTCGAATTGGCCCCAAATAGCCAAATTTGGAGCACCACGGCATAATTTCGTACGAATAAATATTCAAAGGCATCGAAGTCCATTTTCATTGTTTTCCTCTCAAAGTGCAGTTATTTCTGCACGAATTACAATATTTATATGCATTACATAAAGTGCAATAAATTCCTAAAATTACATTTATCCGGGGTGCTCGATCAACTAATCTGCTTATCGAGCCTTATGTAGTGCCTAGACGGTTGAATTCAGTTACACTTCATAAGACTCTGGAGACAAAATGGAAGCAAACAATTGATTTCAATCAGTTTCTATGAGTTGAGGGATAATGTTTGAATTGATACAGATTGAAACAAAACGAAAAATAACTAAAAACCTATAAGAAATACGGCATTCGAGATTTGGGTTCACAGAATACGAGGTGGGAGGATGGCGAATATATTCTTTCTAAGTTGTAACCGATTTCATACTTGTCTATAATAAACGTGAATTGAAAATTCAACAGGGGGCTACTAAATGAGCTCGTGCAATCAAAAAAGAGAAGGATTTGAAGGAGAAGAAGCTAAAAAAAAGAGCCAACGCTGTGACGAAGAAGTTGGGCAACCCCAACTGCTTCTCCTTCACCCCTTTCCCCTTGCAGAAAGTGGCGAGGGGGAAACAATTGTAGAGAGCTTATTCGCCAGTCTTTAATCAGGTTTTTACTGTTGAAATAACAATGAAATTGCGCTGGATATGTTTTTCACAAACCATTTCCTAAATTTTCTTCGCCCAAACCCCTTCAATTCGCTTCATTCGAAAACTGCGCCCACGTTATTCAACAACTGGAGTGAGTGGATTTTGGACATTCGAAATCTGGGTTCGGGACACTGTGTTTTATTGTCGCGAATATTCATCTAATTCCTAACTTTTTCAATCAAAATCAAGTGTCCTTCTATCAGAAAAACATTCGAATTGACTTCTAAGAGTTAATATTTCAGATTTGTGGGAAAAAAACAGGGATAATCCGATATTAATGGGTGGGTGCCCCTTAACCATTCGAAAACTGATGCCACCACGGTATTCAATTGATGATTAATATAATGGTACCGTGAGTGTCCCAATTGCCGCACGGTTAAGAATATTCTACCAAACAATAGCGTTTAATTTGTGTTTTTTTTTGTAATTATAAGTTCTGAAGGTTCATGAGTCATCTTTGATCATTTCTTGACAAAAAGACATTCGATTTCAACTTTAATTCCGAAGAATTCGATAAATATTTATAAAAAACCATCATAGCTCTTATGGTCGAGTTCTCGGATGGCTAAAACTGACCTAGCCGGGTTGTCGGATATCGTATGCCCGATTCTCGGACACAGTGAAATAGAGGCAGAGAAATATAGGAAATCAGTTGTGAAAAGTATATTAAGTGTAATTTTATTACTATTTCAACAATGATAAACTGTGATCAACACAATAATAGACAAACAAAAACGTTGAGACAATAAAATATTTGAGTTTATGGTTCATTTAGAGGGATTTTTTCGGGAGGGCTGTGAGAATCGTTAGCGTCTCCACAACTATTATCTAAAAGTTCTTTTTTTTTCATCCCAGAGTTCTTCCTGAATGACAGTCTTCAGAGATTTTCGCAAGTCCTCATTGGTATATTTGCGGGCTTTTTTTTCTGTATTTCCAGGCCTAGAAGATTCAAAAAAATGGATGAATTTGTTATATTCGTTATTTTTATTTTTATTCTCATAATTTTTTCATTATCTAATGCACGAGAGTTTCAGAAAATAATATATCTTTATGAAAGCAAAGAAACTGACAGAAAAAAAACATTGAGGTTAAGGGTTGGAAATCACATGTGCGGGAACTCCTCCAACCGCGAATTCAGTCGTCCGAGATGCCGGATTTAACATTTCCTCCATAAAAAACAATTATTTTTCTCTTTTTTTCATTTCAGCTTTTTCCAAATTTGTTGCTCAACTACTAGAAACCTATTAAAATCAATTGTTCACTTACATTTTGTTGTTTGATCCTTACGCAATATCGATGATTTTTAACGTTCGCGCACTACACAACCACCAGCTCAGAGACCAGCCATGGGTACTCTTACGTAGATTAATTTCTAATAATTGTATGAAACTCGTGGAACATTCGTCAATAGTGTGATTTGAAGGGAAATAATTGGACAATCGCATGTAACAAAATGAAATGCACATGATGACTGTGAATATGTGATAAATGCTAAATTCTATCCTAAGAGCGCTCTGCGTCCGGGAAAGGGGTCCCGTGCGGCAATTGGGACACTCACGGTAATTGAAAATTGTTGGATTGAAAATTTATTTTAAAATTGATGATTGTTCCGATCCCTCATCACAATTTCACGGGATTTCACGAGATTTCTTAAGATTTCAATCTCATCTGTAGGGGCGGGTGGGGTAAAATGGACACTTTAGACTTTTTTAAAATTATTCATAACTCAGCAACAAATTTATCGATTCAGCTCAGTTTAGGCTCGTCACAAAGGGAAAGAATTGTTCTTTGCATTGGAAGAAAAATTATTAAATTTCATCAACATTTCAACCTCTCATTAACATTTTCAAAAAAATCAAAAGTGTCCGTTTTACCCGAACTTCCCCTACACCAAATTTCACGAGTATTTACCCCCTCGCAAATTACCTATTTTCGGATGTTATCATTTATCAAAACATTCTCGGACAAAAAGCTCTACAAAAAGGTCCTTCACTATTCCCTCCCTCCTCAATCCCTGATGTCCTTCGATCTCCCCATAAACCCCCATCGCTCAGAGATCGATCGCAATCGATTCCTCTGCAATCCCATCCCCCCGAACCCACGCCCCTCCAAAAAATCCCACAAATTCCTAGACCTCACATCCCTCCCGCTGCGTCCCTCGATCGTTATAGCTTCTCGGAGCCGAACGAACCTCTCTAAACGATAACCACGTGGTCCCCAGTGAGCGCACGCGCGCCACGTGCTCCGTCCCCTAACCTGCTCTTCTCATTCCTCGCCAATCGTGCTCATCGCATTTCTCCGTGAAACGACTACGAATAAAACAAATCCCAGTGAGCCCCCCTGACCCCCAACAACCCGCCATCACCACCCGCAAGTGATCCCTATCATCTTCATCGACACCTGCTCCAATCTGTTCACCCCCCAGGAGTGGGGATAGAGCACTCAGAGAGGTAAGACCGAACACCGGTGACGATCCACCGGATGTGCCTAATTACAATAAAGTCCAGCGATTCCCAGCAACTCCCGCACCTCCAGTCCCTCACGTCAACAAATCCACCCCTGATAATTACCCCAGACTCATTAAACTCTCAACCCCGTGGAGGCTCGTCCCATGCCCCTTCTCCCTCACTCCCCCCACCCCTCTTACATTGATAACATCGTCACAATTTCGCTTTTCAGTTTGTGGTTTGCGACCAGTAGTGAACGAGTAGAGTTGATATTAGTGTCGAAGTAAGAGTTAAGCCGACTCGAGGTGAATCCCTCGGTCCCTCGAAGGTGTCGATAGCACCCAGACCCACGATATAAACCCCCAAAATCATCTGATACAGAATTAACCTCTCAAAGAGAAACATAACGACTTGAATTGATAACGAGGGGAAAGTTGAGTCGTCTGGGAGCACCTGTGTTATCCAAGAGCCACTCTTCCCCCTTTTTCCACGGTTAACAACGTGCAACAAACCGAAAAATGGATATTGATGATTACGAGTCATTGCCAACAACATCGGTCGGTGTCAACATGACTGCCGGTGCTTTTGCGGGGATTATGGAGCACTGCGTCATGTATCCCTTCGACAGTGTTAAGGTAATGTACCTGGAGGGAATTCGTGGGAATGCATTCTGGGGGGGGATTTTACATAACCTAGCTTCTTAGGTATGAAAAGAGAAAAGGGGGTTTGTCTGGGTAATGATGTAATATCCCCAGGGCTATTTTACACGGTTAAGCCTTAGATGTTTTTTAAGGCATAATTTATTTGCTCTGGGTTCTTATGCCTTAAAAAACATCTAAGGCTTAGCCGTCTAAAATAGCCCTGGGGATAATACAGATGTTTAATATACCGGTGAAAATTTCTTTGATTGTGGGTAATGGTGTCTTTGTGGGATAATCAAGAGACATTTTTGGGGGGATATTTTGGCATAAGTCGATAACGAGATAATTGCATGATTGGTCCTCGTGATTTATTTGGAGGAGGATTTTATTTTTCTTTTGTTGGTAAATTATTCAGTCTCAGAAAAGGAGATCTGGCTCGAGAGTGAATCGTTTTATGGGGAAGTGTCAGGTAAATATTTTGGGGAGAATTTTCTGAGCTTAAAAGAGGTCCTTTGAGATTTTTTGGTAGAAATACTCGCTACGGAAATAATTGCATAACTAGTCCTCATGTCTTTAAATGAAGATGTTATTTTCTTTCTGTTGGTAAATAATTCAGACTTACGTGTATGAAACTTGGAAAAGTCGTTTTATCTCGAGAATGAAATGTTTCATGGGTGTGTTTACAAGATAATTGCATGATTTGTCTTCATGATTTATTTTTACGAATTTTTTCCCTCTTAAAACTGAAAAGAGCCCATTCATCTGGAGAACGAACCGTTTTGTGTGGAAATGTTAAAATACATTTTTTGGGGAGAATTTTCTGAGCTATAAAAGAGGTCCTTTGATGTTTTTTGGTAGAAATACTCGTTACAGAGATAATTGCATAACTAGTCCTCATGATAACTTTAAATGAAGATCTTACTTCCTTTCTGTTGCGAAATAATTCAGACTCTCGTGTATCAAACGTGGAAAAGTCGATTTATCTCGAGAATGATTAGGTTTATGAGTGTGTTTACGAGATAAATGCATAATTGGTCATAATGATTTTTTTTTATGAAGATTTTCTTTTTCTCAATGTTAAATCATTTTGATTCTCATACGTAAAACTGGGAAAACTCATTTCTAGATCAAACTGTTTTATGTGGAAATGTTAGAATACATCTTTTATGGAGATTTTTCTGAACTATAAAAGAAGCCCTTTGATGATTTTCTGTAAAAATACTCATTACTCATTACTCAGATAATTGCACAACTATTTCTCATGATGCTTTTAAATGAAGTTGTTATTTTCTTTCTGTTGCTAAATATTTCGGACTCTCGTGTATCAAACTTGGAAAAGTCGATTTATCTCGAGAATAAATAATGTTATGAGTGCGTTTACGAGATAATTGCGAGATTAGTCTTCATGATTTATTTTGACGACGATTTTATTGTTCCTGATGTCAAATCATTTAGACTCTCATACGTAAAACTGGGAGAAACCTATTCATCTGGAGATCGAACCGTTTTATAAAGAAATTTTCTGAGCTATAAAAGAGGTCCTTTGATGTTTTTTGGTAGAAATACTCGTTACTCAGATAATTGCATAACTAGCCTTCATGATGCCTTTAAATGCTGATTTTATTTCCTTCCTGTTGCTAAATAATTCAGACTTTCGTGTATCAAACTTGAAAGAGTCGATTTATCTCAAGAATGAATAGTTTTATGGGTACATTTACGAGATAATGGCACGATTGGTCTTCATGATTTATTTTTATGATTTTTTTTATTGTCAAATCATTTATACTCTCATACTTGAATAAAACAGGAAAAATCCCATTCATCTGGAAATCGAACCGTTTTATAGGGAAATGTCAGCATCCATCTTGTGTGGAGAAGTTTCTGAGCTATAAAAGAGTTCTTTTTATGTTTTTCGGTAGAAACACTCGTTACTCAGATAATGGCATAACTAGTTCTCACGATCCCTTTAAATGAAGATGTTATTTTTTTTTTGGTGCTAAATAATTCAGACTCTCGTGTATCAAACTTGGGAAAGGCGATTTATCTCGAGAATGAATAGTTTTATGGGTGTGTTTACGAGACGATTGCATGATTGGTCTTGTTTATTTATTCTGATGAAGATTTTATCCAAATGGCTTTGGGCCGTGTTCAGCGACTGAAGAGGAATGCTTTGTGCATTCGAAACGCAGTGCGATTGAATTAGTTATATATTTTTTTATGTTTGATTACTGCTGCTGACCTGAACATGGCTCAAAGGAATTTGAATAATTTCAAAGCATACGGTGGAGAACATCTATTTCTTTTAAGGCCCACGTGTATTAATGATTATCTTTCGAACGTGATCTGGGTTGTTTTTTTTTTTTTTTGATAATCTGAAATGTTCTTCAATTGCCATTTAGTTTTACGTAGCCCTGGAGTCTTCAAAAATTATGATTGTACAACCAAAAAAAATGTTGAAAAAAACTGAACCTTATCAAAGAGCATTTTTGAATAATATTGCGAAATAAATCCAATAAGGAGGAAATTGCAAATTAATAATTTACAGTATCTAATGACTGCTCAGTCGTTATTTGTCACCGTAGCCAATGACTGTCAGATCGTTAGTTGCCATGATAAATTATCCACTTGCAATTTCCTCTCTGTCGGACTTATTTCCTAATCTTTATGAAAAATGCTCTTTGAAAATGATCAGTTTTTTAATACTTTTTTTGATTGTGCAGTCATAATTTTTAGGGACACCTGCGTGGTGTAAAATCCAGTGGAAATTGTGATATATTTTAGATTATGAAGATGGAAAAACAATCAAGATAACGTTCGAAAGATAATCCATCCGGGCCTTAAATGATGAAGATTTTATTTTTCTTGGTGCCAAATCATTTACTCTCATACTTAAAACTGGGAAAAGCTCATTCATCTGGACATTAAACCATTTTATGGGGAAATGTTGAGATACATTTTTCTTAGAATTGTGCAGAACTAGTCTTCATGATCAACTCAATAAATATAGCATTTCCTTTCTGTTGCTAAATAATTCAGATTCTCGTATATCAATCTTGAGAAAGTCGAATTATCTTGAGAATGAATAGTTTTATGGGCACGTTTTCGAGATAATTGCATGCTTCGACTTAATTTTTTATTTTGATAACGACTTTATTTTTTATTTGTTGGTCAATCATGCAAACCCCATGCTTGAAACTGGGGAAAGTCCATTCATCTCGAGATCTATCCATTTTACGGGGAAATATCAGTTACCGAGATAATTGCATAACTAGTCCTCATAATTCCTTTCAATGAAACTGTTACAGTAGAGGCATCGTATAAGATAACTCTCTATAAGATACCTCTCCCTCCGAGCGCTGGAGGCCTACCCCCCACTCTCGGCACTTTTACCGCCTCCCGAACGTTCATGTTCCGTGGGCTGCTTATAAGATACCTATGGCCCCGGTCATTTTTCAATGGGAAGAGAATAGTTACAAGGATTAAACGGTGTCAAGGGTCAAACGGGAGGGACGAACGAAGTGATCATGAGGGTCTAATGACCTTAAGGGGGGGGGGGGTCACTCCACTTTTTTCAAGTAATGGAAACATACATAGATTTTTTTTCACTTTTCCCATCGAAAAATCGTAATTTTTCGTCTGTGATAATTCCCGAGTCCACCAACAATCCCCCAACATCAGCTGCCATTCTATCACGCGGGGTTATGTTTAGAGAGAAAAGGGAACGCGGGCGATACAAATTCCAAACATTGAACACATAAATTGATTATTTATCGATATTCATTCAATAAAAATGAAAATTTCATTGAATTCGGGCACAACGAGCGAGGTATCTTATTTGAAACCCGCTTATCTCTATTTTTCTCCTCTTTATGGGTGCGCGTAGTGGGGGCATAGGGGTTCCCGGAATTTCACTCTCTTACTGTCTCCAAGGTATCTTATACAAAGCCCCTACTGCATTTCTTTTCTGACGCTAGACAGTTCAGACTTTTAGAACCGTTTCACGCGGAAGATTCGAAATACCTTCTGTGCAAAATTTTTTCAGCTGAAAAGAGGTGTTTCTATTTTTTTGTGGAACAATTCGTCTAGAAAATATTTGCATAACTAGTCTTCATGATTTCTTCTACTGAAAATTTTATTTCCCTTTCTATTGCAAAATAACTCACACTTTGGTGCGTGAAACTTGGAAATCTCAATTTATCTCAATAACGAGTCATTTAAAAGAGAAATGTGCTAAGACAATTTTTTTGAGGAATTTCCTCGACTCCAAAAGAGGTCCTTGAATGGTTTTCTCTAGAGCCACTCGTTAACGAGGTAATTCCGTAATGAGTCCTTATGGTTCATTCAATAAGAGATTCGATTTCCTTTGGATCGCTGAAAGCTCCAGAGTCTCGCGTATAATACCTCTGACACGAATAATTTTATGGAAAAATAGAAATCAACTTTTTATGGGTAATACTCTCAACTCCAAAGGCGGTCATTTGACGTTTTTCTGCAGAACTACTCGTCGCCGAGACAATTGCATAATTAGTCCTCATGATTGATTTCAATGCAGTTTTTATTTCCTTCTTGTTATTGAATAATTCAGACACATCCATTAAACTTCGAGAATTTGATTTCAAAATACGTTTTTTGTGGAGAATTTTGTTTTGCAAACGAGGTCTGCTATTATTTTCCTCGAAAGCCACTTGTTTACGAAACAATTGCATCATTACTCCCATGATTCACTTCACTGAAAATCCCGAATGAAAGGTTTATTTTTGATCGATTTTTCGATTCTCTAATTTTGATTGCAAATTCATTGAGAAAAACTTTTTTTTTTATGAGTACGTCTTTATTTATATGAAGAAACTAGGGACTTGAAAATTTTCAAGAGCAAAATATCTTTTTAAATTAATTTATTTTCTGAAAATTAATTTTTAGAAAATTCAACATAAATACGGTGAAATTTGTAGATAAAAATCTGAAATTTTGACTCATTATAGCTATTATTGAGCTCAACTTTGGCGTGCTGTTTCAGCCCGATAAGCTCAGTAGTTCCTGAGAAATAACAACTTGTTTAAATTTCGTTTTTCCTCAATACCTCAAAAACTACTGTACCAATTTCAATTTTTTTTTTCAAAATACTCGCCTCGATGGCCTCTACGTAAGTTAATCAGAATATACAGACAGAATATACTTTAATACAGAGTTTAGAGATCTAGCCATTTTTCCGTTTTTCATGAAAAATCTTGTACGCACGATAACTTGAGAAAAAAAGGAGATAGCAAGTTGACATTTGCTATGATTATAGCTCTTACAATACCAGGGATGGCCATCAATCTTCCGATTCTTCAATATTAAAAGAATTTCCGACTTACATTGATCAAGGTTTAAATATACTAATCGAAATTTAAAAATCTAATCTAAATTTCCAATTGATGATGAATTAAATATTTAAAAATATGGAACTACCAATTCTCTATTAAGTAGATAACATTAAATTTCTTATTACGGATTTCTGATTAGCCAAATAATCGGCAATCTCCCCAACTCAATTACTAATTAGTGAATAATTCAAAATTTGACTGTTTAAATTGATGATTATTCCAATAATTCAAATTACAATGATTGAAATGAAAATTTTTTTTTTAAAATAACAAAATTAAAGAATTCAATTATTCAATTCTCAATATCACTTTTAAATTTTAATTATTGAAATAATCATCAATTAAATTATGATTATAATTCATTGTTTCATTCATTGTTCAATCGTTTCGTAATTATTATAATTTAATTGATGATTATTTCAATAATTAAAATTTAAATGGGAAATTAACTAATGGACAACTTAATAATTAATGGATATGGCTATGCCTGCACAATACTGAAGGTTGGTATTTTGGATAGACGCAATCGGCCGAGCAGCTTCAGAGATTTTAACCTTCTGCATAAATCTTTTTCAATAAAAGGTTGAATATTTGCCTGTACTTCACCCGGTAGCATGTGGTTGCGGTTGTATGCCTGTCACAAGGATAGCGAATTGCTACCGATCCATTCGGAAGCTTACTCCCAATGGAATTGGTATAAATAAAAAAAAGAAAGAGACTAATGACGCAAAAAGTAACGGTCACATGCCCTCTGTTGGATAGGCTCGAGCTCCTGCTTGTTTTAATTACTGAGTGCACGTAAGATTGTAGTTGAGGCCCTTTGATACTCTTCAATTTTGATTGTTATTTTGAGATGAGGAAATCACGAATAAATTTCTCGGAATTACCAGCTTGCGGTGGGAAACGTGTATCACATTACAATGAGAGTCGAGATTCTAATAACGTAATGCAAGTCTGTTTGATTCTACTCGACGTTGTAAATACTTGGATTGTATGTCTTTCGTATTTAGTGTCAGGCGATGATACTAGCGTGATAATTCTAATTATTACGGGGTCATTAGTGTGAGAAAAATATTGTGATAATCAATAACTCATTGTTAGCGTGGAATTCTCAGGTTTTGATTCATAAATATGGACTTGATGTTTATATTTTCATTTCATTTCCTATTCATCCTTTCTCAAACCGGTTATTATTCTTGAAATCAATGGTTTTATGATATTTCACGAGAATACTACGCGACTAAATTAAGTAATAATAATAAAGTAATAAATAGAAGAATTAAATGTAGTTGGAGATCATTTTGAAGTGAATATGCGAGGAAAATAGTCATGCATACGGAATTTATGTCATCGTTTTCCTCATGGTAATGACGTATAGATTGAATGTGAATGGACAGCCTCCTCCGGATGAATATCTAACAATTTGTAGTAAGAGTCTGATTAGTTTTATCCAATCGCATTGTCGAGGTTTTCGCAAAAAGAAACGCCGATGCTTGGTTTTTAGTGTTTCTGTTATTACGTAAGAGTCTAGGCTAGTACAACTCGTTCTATTTATGCATCTCGTGGTACACTGGGGGTACATTTGCAGTGGTGAGGAGAGGAAAAGAGTTGTCTACGAGTGAATGATGATTCAACTATGTCATTAAATTATTTTTTAAGGCGTACTTATTTTTTCCGGTGATTTCTGTTCATCACACAGATGTAGATGTAATTGGCATGAAAATGGAATTTTTACTCGTCATGGTGATCAGAAATGCGTTAGAAGTTGCTGTGTCACGTTCATAATTTTTTGCGGTTTTTGAAAAGCGAATTATATAGATTACTTTGAGAATATCTGGGGGATTCCTTTGTGGGAATTTTGTGGACTACAGGAAATGGCTTTTTAGATTTGTAGATAAACATATTGAATTTAGGGATACTTGAAAAATTAGTTAGGAAAACTTTTTACAATGAAAATTGATTTATTGCTTTTTATTTTGCAATTGTCTTGGGAGCACGTGACTTTAACAAAGAATTTCTTTTCATTTTTTTTCTTTCATATAATAGCCTGATATTCCGATTTCAAATTATCATTTTCTTTAATCCTGAATTCTTTTGGGTATATTTGTGAGGCTCGTTGATCTAGAGATAAATATCAAGGGGCAAGGGAATCCATAGAATGAACATAAGATGATTTTTTTTATTGCTTCCGAATGGAAGCTTGGTAGTAGCTGAAATTTACATTCCTAATTTTATGTGTTAGGGTAACTAAATATCGCCCAAAAAGTTCGAATATGCTACTTTTAGATGGTGTCTGTATGTATGAATGTAGTCTTTTTTCTTTTTTTCTTTTTTTTTCTCGCAATTTTCTTATAAGGGATCAACCGAATTTTATGAACTTTTTCATGAATTTAAACTCTAATAAGCTCTATTCATTGACACCAATTAAAATTCAATTCAATAAAATTAAATTCAATTGATTCGAAAAAAATGATATTTTTCCAAAAAACGTTTTTTCAACGATCACTCACAAAATTGATAACAATACTCTCTTGATTCAGTCAGAATATGTTGGAGGTCGCACAATTCGTTGTTGAGTTACAGCACATTGTTTATGTTATTTGGAAGAGAGAATCGACTTTTTCATGCTTTCATGCAATTAAATCAGCGCTTGAAAAGTATATTTCAATGCCTTCTTAATCAAGTTGAAAAATGATAAAAACTGCATCATTGTTTATCAAGTTACAAAATACCATGAGATTTTTCTGCCAAATTCTCTGTTTCTATTAAACTCAGATACTAGTCCATTATATTGAATTCTTATTCATATTGATTCACGTTCCCGACTAACTTCTGATAGAACCTGGGTTAAACTCTAAATCCTAAATAAAGCCTGGTTAAATCCCGGCTGTAGATTGATTAAACCTTAATTCAACCTTGATTTAACCCGGCCTGAAAACTAATTGCAGTCTTGAAAGAGTCTGAATGTAGAATCATTTGAGAGACCGAAATAATACGCAAAATTTTGATGACATTTCAGTTTGATGATATGTCAATTGACGATTTCATTTTGATGACTATGACATGAAAAAATAGAAGAAGAGAATAGCACAGTAATCCAGTATATGTATATATATCTCACCGATAATGTACGTTCAGTCACTCAAACTCAGTTTATTTTGCTGACTAGATGAAGTGTATAAATACCTAGTTATACCAACCTTTTTAACGATAACCTAACTTAAGGTTATCATAATTTGTAATTAGTCATGTTATTGGCTTCGGCTGTTTGACTTGGAAAATTAAATAAACAAAATAAATAAACAAATAAATAGTGAACTGAGAAATGAAAAAAAAACCCATTTGGAAACAAATTGCTAATTTATTAGCAACAATTACTGTACGTATTATCGACGGCGGTGGTTGTGTGGTTAGAGTGTTGGATTGGCATGCGGGAGACCCGGGTTCGATTCCCGGCTGGGGAGGGGCCAAAATTTGTGACACTCTAAATCTCACGGTTTCATTGTCGAACGGGAGTCTCGCAAGAGACGACTGTACCTGGGTAGGTTTTTCCCTCAAATGAGATTTTCCCTTGTCCTTCGGCGAATGCGGTACAGGGGGTTGGGGGGTGGAAAGCGAACAAATCGTAAAGACCCGAAAGGGTATACGAGAGGAAAAAATTTTTACTGTACTTATTTATTTTAAAAACGCGATTGTCCGTTTGTGTTTGATATTATAAAGTTCCCCATTGAATTTTTTGTTCATTTCTAGGTGATCTTGTAAATCATATGTGTTTTCTGATCGAACAGACGAGGATGCAGGCGCTGAGACCCGAGCCAGGTGGAGGCGGCAGTATTCGGGCTGTAATGTCCAGGATGGTGCAGCAAGAGGGGCTTCTAAGGCCAATTCGTGGAATGAGTGCTATGGTAGCCGGTGCTGGACCCGCACACGCACTCTATTTCTCTTGTTACGAATTTTTGAAAAATCGTATGGTATCAAAAACTACCTCACAGGTCAATCATCTAGTCTATGGAGCTGCTGGATGTGTTGCCACGATATTACATGATGGTGTTATGAATCCAGCTGAAGGTAAAGTTTGTTTGTTCGATTGGAAGCGGTTTACGTGATAACGAGATATTTTTGTAGTTCATGCAACAACAGACCGGTCAATGTCAATTATTCGATAATCATAACTTCCAGTAATGGTTCTTGATGATACCCAAGTACTTCATTCAAGTTGAAAACTTTTTTTCAAGCGAAATTTCAGTTTTGCCGAAAGTCTTGACATCCCCATATTTTTTCGGATTTTTTATTGTTGAATACATTTTTTTCGGAAATTTTATTCAATGAATGTTGTATACAACTAGGGGGTTACACCCCCATATGACCCCCATGATCCTTATTCTGACCATTGTGACACGTAATCTGACCTTTGTGACCCTCATTTTAACCCTCTTTATACCCCTCGTGACCTTTAATTAATTTCGAGTATTAAATTTTCATTACCTGTAGTTGATTTGGATTTTTATAATAAAGAGAGATATATAAAGACCCTTATTTTAACCCTTAGATTCTCACCCCCATGACCCTTTTTTGGACCCTTAACCCGACCCTTATGATCTTATTTGAATCCTTAATCTGACCCTCATTCTAACCCACGTGACTCTTATTTTGACCCTGGTGACCCTTAGTTTACCTTAGACTACCTTCAATAGCGGTAGTTAATCTGACCTTTGTGATCCTTAATCTGACCCTTGTGACCTTATTTGGATTCTTAATCTGACCCTCATTCTAACCCTCGTGACCCTTAATCTGATGCTTGTGACCCTTATTTAGACCTTTAATCTGACCTTTGTCACCCTTATTTGGACCCTCTGACCCTTAATGTGATTCATATGACCCTTAATCTGATCCATGTGACCCTTATTCTGACCCTTGTGACCCTTAATTTTGAGTACCAAATTTTCATCACCAAAAGTCGATTTGGATTTTTATAATATAGAGAGATATTTCATTCAATTTCACGCTTGACTTTCTTTGATAAAATTTTATTAAAAATTCACCGTATTCAGAATTCATCAATCTACCACGGATTAGTTTTTTAAGAATATCATAAGAACCTTTTTCTCATAAGCTGGAAAAATCGACTTCGGGGGGACCAATAACTCCGGTTTGGCCTATGCCTCACGTGCTAGAAGCTCGTATTTCATTATTTATTATCTCCTAAACCGTGCAGTACAAGTAGTTAGAATTTTTTTCAATCGCTGGGGATTATTATAACCATTATCTGTGAAAAACATGCGAATAGTCGTAAGAAACACCTGTTTTCCAGGGATATACTTTAAAGCCACGTTTATACCAAAACTTGAAATAATAATAATTTTATAGAATTCATGGCCCTGATATTTTTTTTTAATCTAGTAATTTTACAGATATCATCAAAATAACAACTGTGGAAAGGTTACTCTAAAATTAATTCACAGATTATTTCGACGATATCTCTGAAACTAATAGATTTTGAGGAATACATCAAAGGAATTTTGCATTGATTTTTTTTCCAACCCAAATATCGGGCAATATAATTGGCACATTCGACATCACGTGGTACAAGCTACCGGGTTTCCAACTGATAATTTTTTGATAATTTTCTCTGGTAGTTGCTATATAAAAAACAAAACATCATGCAGTCGAATTAACCCCTCGTCAAACTGACAAATTGAATTCAATTGTGGTAATCTGAGGATTTTTATTCGAAAGGAGTGTTAATGATACAATTTTCGTTTCTCAATTGTGAGTTTCGTCTCATGGTCCAATTATATTGCCCGACATTTGGATTGGAAAAATAATCCCCCGAATACCACACGAGCTTAAAAATTAATCGGGCATTTTCCTCAAGGTTCCCTGCATACAAACGAAGTCGTCAAGTTTTTCAGGAAAAATCACTCGTGCTTCGCACTCGTGATTTTTTAAACTGAAAAACTTGACTCCTTCGTTTGTTTGCAACGAACCTATCGGAAAATACCCGATAATTTTTTTTTTTTTATGCTTATTTTATATCGCTTCGAGTCTGATGAGACTATATGGCGATTGATCAAGACTTTAAAAATGGTTAGATCTCACCATTCTACCCGGCCAGGAATCGAACCTGGAACCTATCCGTTGTGAGGCAACGGCCTTAACCACTACGCCAGGCCACCGGGCTTACCCGATAATTTTGAAGCTCTTGTGGTATTACAAGTGATAAATTAGCCGTTTTTAAAATATACTTTTATGCTCCACACAAATACATTCTTTTATTAGCCTAGTTGTTTCAGAGATATTTTCAGAAAAAAACTGGGAAATATCTCCGCACGAACAATTATTCACATATTATTTTCAAGATATCTCTAGAATTGATAGAATGAACAGAAAACAGCAATAATTTTTTTTAGATTGTTATGATTTTGGAGGAAGTTACTTTGATATTATTCTCTCACGTTAGTAGTTCCAGTGATATTTTTAAAATGAAATGGATGAAATTCTAACTTCAGTCCGATTGCTGAAAATGAACGGATAATCATCCACTCGAAATTAAATCCAAAAAATATTCGTTCATAACTTCATAATCATCTCCGGAACCATTAGGTCAACAGGAAATTCTCAAGTGACCTGTGGAATGCTCCACAAAAAAATATTCTCTTGGCATTTTTTTCCAGAGCTACTGGTTTCGGACATATTCTCAAATTCTGTACAAAATATTTTAAATTATCTTCTGCTACTTTCTAAAACTATTTTCTTGTTTTGTGCACTTTTTCAGTGGTCAAACAGCGGCTGCAGATGTACAATTCCCCCTACAGAAACGTCTTAGACTGTGTACGACACATTTACAGGACAGAGGGTATATTTGCATTCTACAGAAGTTACACAACACAATTGGCAATGAACGTGCCATTCCAGAGTTTGCACTTCATCGCTTATGAATTTGGACAGTCGATAATGAATCCACAGCACACATATAACCCTCAGGCGCACATCCTATCAGGTAACAGCAGAAAACCCCTATTACACAATTTTTCTTGTAATTTTTGCGCTAAAATAGTGCTATGCATTTATTTAAAAAACTAATTGATTTCAGTCAAAAATGTCAAGAGACCCTTTTTTTATAGCTACGAAGAATTTCTATAAATATCGACAATTTATTCAACCATAAAAAAGTTCTCGTGAATTCATAATTAGCAGAATGGGATGAATTGATTTATTATGAATTTATCACTTCATCACAGATTTTTTTCATCTGTTGAGAGAAATAGTATTCCTGTTTTCTTTTTGTCATCAAATTATTCCTTGTTGATTTACTATTATTACATATAGGGGACAGTGAGGCAAAATGAAACAGCCGAAAAACCACAATTTGATGCAATTCAAGCAAAAAATAGTACATTACGCAACTAGTGCGTTAAGCAGCCGCCCGAGTGATACCGCCTGCTGTCCGCACGTGTTGCGTATACTATTTTATATGATAAGTGCGTGATGAAGTTTGGCGGTAGAGGGGGGGGGGGTGTGGGGGGTGTGATTGCAAAATTTCATTTTCGTTACTGAATTCTCAATGACTTATCACTAATTTCTAGAAATCAATCACCAAATTTCAGTTAAAAAATTTTTTTATATGATACGTGCGTGTAACCGCATGGGTTTCAGTTGACTATAGTCAACTGGAAAGTAGACTAAAACCCGAAATAACGCATGACGCGCATGCGCATCACCTATTAAAAGAAAATACAAGGAAGGAAATCTAACCTCCGAATAGTGAATACATGGAATGACTGAAAAATGAAAAGGTGATTTTCGAAGCAGATAAAATGAGCCAAAATCGTATAATTTCTGATAGTGATAAAGAGTTAGGCAGTGAGGAGGATTTATTTACTGATGAGGAGAAGTTGATTGGTAATGTGGCATTTGAAGAAAATGGAATAGTATGTTTCGATACAAGTGCGACGGGATGGCAACGAGTGTGAAGTTGGTGGCCGGAGGCGAAGCCGAGGGCTGCCAATCACACGAGTTAAAACACCCCGTCGCACGTGTATCCGAACTATATTTTTTGTTAGTGATGTTACGTTCAGCGAGTGCCGAACTGTGCCATTTTTCGTTTACTAGTAAACGAAAAGTCTTTTCGTTTACACGTTTCGACTTTTCGTTTACTAGTAAACGAAAAGCCACTTTTCGACACGGGCTGAACGTAGCAGCAGTGACAAAAATGAAATATTCCCCAATGAAGTAACAGCAGGATCGCCAAAAACTCCTTCTTCGATCAAATACTGTAACTTAAGGGCTTTATGGAATTCTAATGATGAAAATAATGTCAAGGAAACACAGAGAAAAATTATTTTTGCTTTTCAGAGACATGTCACAGAATTCACCGAAACTTCACTGAAATTTGGTGATTGATTTCTAGAAATTAGTGATAAGTCATTGAGAATTCAGTAACAAAAATGAAATTTTTCAATCACACTTTTTCATAATTACTTTTTTAAATAAATGTGATCTTTTTTCTCCAGGGGGGGGGGGGGCTACGCCGCCCTCGTGAGTTACCGCCTGCTTTCCGCACTAGTTGCGTAATGTACTATTATCAATTTTTGTCTATTCAGTTTCTTTATTATTGGGAGTACTGATAGAATAATAATTTTCTATTCGGTAGAAAATCCCACTCCCCTGTTAGATCTCGATCTCAACGTCCACTAGTCAGCTTGTTCCCTGACTCTACAGCAGTCAAACTCAGATCTCGTCATCGCGGAGATTATGTTCTCTCCTCATTCGAAACTCCCAAAGATTTTTCAAATATTTCTTACATCGGGACGACAATAATAATAATTTTCACGAATTTTATCCACAGTTCTCTTTTCAAGTAATATGAAATATTTCATCTATAATTCAATTGATTAGATTAGAGCAATTACACTTTTCTTTTTTCATTCGATTGAAATTCAACATCACATTCCTTTTTCCCCCACTGGGTCTTCCCCCTGAGGCCATCAAAACTTCTCAATCATCCTCCATTCTACCGAATGGAAAATTTTTATTCTAATCAGTACTCCCAGTAATAAAAGAAAAGTTTATGAACAATAGCTTAAAAAAAATAGTTAATAAAACATTTTTTTTGCTTGAATTGCGTCCCCACTCTCTCCTATTATTTCTCTTCAATTTCTGCGCTTCACAAATTCAATCCATTGAAACATGGATTATTGATGCATCAGAAGCATAAACAGCGAGTTCGTGGAAAAAAACGAAAGAAATGATTAACTAAAGATCACCCTCCATGAAAACGATTAAAAAAAACGCGACATTGAATCCACGTATTTGCCTGCAAATCATTGTCGACACGAATCTACAATGAGTGAGTTCCCCGATTCAGTGTAAATATTTCGTGAGTTTGCGATTTCAATTCGGAAATTACAGGTATTTTTCTCGTTTTTCCATTACCGTCATCACAAGGAAATCAATGTTTTTCGTGCTGAAAAAAAAGTGTAAAAAATAGTGTAAACCGTTGCTAGGGGAAATTATATAAATCCAAAGAATCCTAACCACAGCTCATGAATTCCCTAATTAAACGATGAATCAGTTTCGTAACGAGTGAAGAACGAGTCAGTTTGTCACCAGATTAGCATAATTATAAATACTTGAATATACTAAAAGTTTTAAGCGGAGACCGTTGTGAAATTTGGAGGTCGTTGTGACATTCGTTGAATTTGTTTGGCCCTTTAAAAAGTGGGAAAGGGTTTCATGTTGCGCGAAGAGGACAAAACGGGCCAGGACCTTGGAAGTCGTTCAATTTTGAATCGATGGCGTTGAAAATTAGTTTTCACATACTTGATCTATACAGTAATGAAAACAAACATGAATTTTGAAAAATATAAGTTTTTTTTTGCTTTCAATGGAAGCGTTGTAATCGTTCAAATTTAAGGCCCGGCTGTACTATCTTTCGAACGTTATCTCCATGTTTTTTTTCATCTTTTGTCATCTGAAATTGTCAATCAAGTCCTGCATCATGTAGAAGTTTTGAACAATTATGAATGAATAAGAAAAAAAAGGGAGAAAAAATTTATAATTTTTTCAAAGAGCATTTTTAATTTATATTCAGAATAAGTTGAGTAATAAGAAATTGAAAAATGTATCTGATTTACAGTGACAAATGGCGGCCTATCACCCAATATCATGCAGGGGGAAGACTGATTTCGTAAATCTTTTCCCATATTACACAGAGACATTTACTACGGAAAAGGCTCTTTGAAAAAAGGTGTAATATNGGGGGGGGGGCTACGCCGCCCTCGTGAGTTACCGCCTGCTTTCCGCACTAGTTGCGTAATGTACTATTATCAATTTTTGTCTATTCAGTTTCTTTATTATTGGGAGTACTGATAGAATAATAATTTTCTATTCGGTAGAAAATCCCACTCCCCTGTTAGATCTCGATCTCAACGTCCACTAGTCAGCTTGTTCCCTGACTCTACAGCAGTCAAACTCAGATCTCGTCATCGCGGAGATTATGTTCTCTCCTCATTCGAAACTCCCAAAGATTTTTCAAATATTTCTTACATCGGGACGACAATAATAATAATTTTCACGAATTTTATCCACAGTTCTCTTTTCAAGTAATATGAAATATTTCATCTATAATTCAATTGATTAGATTAGAGCAATTACACTTTTCTTTTTTCATTCGATTGAAATTCAACATCACATTCCTTTTTCCCCCACTGGGTCTTCCCCCTGAGGCCATCAAAACTTCTCAATCATCCTCCATTCTACCGAATGGAAAATTTTTATTCTAATCAGTACTCCCAGTAATAAAAGAAAAGTTTATGAACAATAGCTTAAAAAAAATAGTTAATAAAACATTTTTTTTGCTTGAATTGCGTCCCCACTCTCTCCTATTATTTCTCTTCAATTTCTGCGCTTCACAAATTCAATCCATTGAAACATGGATTATTGATGCATCAGAAGCATAAACAGCGAGTTCGTGGAAAAAAACGAAAGAAATGATTAACTAAAGATCACCCTCCATGAAAACGATTAAAAAAAACGCGACATTGAATCCACGTATTTGCCTGCAAATCATTGTCGACACGAATCTACAATGAGTGAGTTCCCCGATTCAGTGTAAATATTTCGTGAGTTTGCGATTTCAATTCGGAAATTACAGGTATTTTTCTCGTTTTTCCATTACCGTCATCACAAGGAAATCAATGTTTTTCGTGCTGAAAAAAAAGTGTAAAAAATAGTGTAAACCGTTGCTAGGGGAAATTATATAAATCCAAAGAATCCTAACCACAGCTCATGAATTCCCTAATTAAACGATGAATCAGTTTCGTAACGAGTGAAGAACGAGTCAGTTTGTCACCAGATTAGCATAATTATAAATACTTGAATATACTAAAAGTTTTAAGCGGAGACCGTTGTGAAATTTGGAGGTCGTTGTGACATTCGTTGAATTTGTTTGGCCCTTTAAAAAGTGGGAAAGGGTTTCATGTTGCGCGAAGAGGACAAAACGGGCCAGGACCTTGGAAGTCGTTCAATTTTGAATCGATGGCGTTGAAAATTAGTTTTCACATACTTGATCTATACAGTAATGAAAACAAACATGAATTTTGAAAAATATAAGTTTTTTTTTGCTTTCAATGGAAGCGTTGTAATCGTTCAAATTTAAGGCCCGGCTGTACTATCTTTCGAACGTTATCTCCATGTTTTTTTTCATCTTTTGTCATCTGAAATTGTCAATCAAGTCCTGCATCATGTAGAAGTTTTGAACAATTATGAATGAATAAGAAAAAAAAGGGAGAAAAAATTTATAATTTTTTCAAAGAGCATTTTTAATTTATATTCAGAATAAGTTGAGTAATAAGAAATTGAAAAATGTATCTGATTTACAGTGACAAATGGCGGCCTATCACCCAATATCATGCAGGGGGAAGACTGATTTCGTAAATCTTTTCCCATATTACACAGAGACATTTACTACGGAAAAGGCTCTTTGAAAAAAGGTGTAATATTTTGGAGAATTTTTTAATCACACTTTTATCACATAAAAATGGCAGATGACTACATGCCACTGTTTTGAAAATTTAGATACCTAGCTGTCACTTCCCATGAGGAGTTAGTGTTTTGTTATCCACCATGGAAAATGATAGCTAATAGATAATTTGCCACAGCGAATCAGATATTTGTAATTTTCACTTTTTTCAGCTCATTCTGAATCTCAATTAAAAACGCTCTTTGAAAGAGTTCAGAATTTTTTCTATTTTTTTAAATCATTCTATTATAATTTTTGGGAATTTCTACATGATGTACCACTCAATTGACAATTTTGGATTACGAAAAATAAAAAAAATCCAGATAACAGTCAAAAGATAGTGCACCCTTAAGTTTTGAATTTTTTGTGTTATATCGACCCATTATGATCCAAAAAGTCTGAAAATATAATTTCTAAACCGTGTGTGTATGTGACGAAGTTTTTCTTCAATTGTTCCCTAGCAAATCAATGGAATTAAATCATTTCCTTTTATTAAATGTAGATATTTTTGAGCCTTATCAATGAACATTAATCGAAATTTAATTCATTTCAGATTTTTTTTTATAATATAACTGATAACTAAGAAAAAATGTTCTGAGTTCATTGAACGAGGGCTTAAAAAATTTGTTTGGATGTCCTCTTGACCGAGTTTGAAGATGAAGTCGATAGCAATAATCGTTATTTTAATTTGTATAAAAATTTGTAAAAGTTTTGTATTTTTTGGAAATTGGAATTCCGCGGATTTCTCGAGATATCATGTTTCAAATGCATTCAATTATAGCTTTAAATATTGGGTTCAATGCCACACTGTTGAAGTTGACCAGTAATTACGATAACGATATGTGTTGATTTGATTTTTATGACGATTTTTCTAATTTCGAATTTGCCATTATATATTAATAACCGTAGTTTATGTAGACGACAAACCTGTGAAATGCAGAGCCGATAACAAACAATTTTCAAGAACTAGGAAACCGTTGAACGAAAATAAACAGATTCACGCCAAATCAGCAGGACAAAAAAGTCGATGCTGCGGATTTTCGTCTGAATTTTTTTATGAAACGATGGCTATTAGACAAAAATTTTGAAAAAAGAACAATTGAAAAATATGGAGAATTATTATTATTTTTGGGAGTTATGATTTTTTGAAAATTGCTAGTATTTGTCCAAAAAAGGTTTTTTTACGAATTGGCCAAAATATTCCTGCGGGGTTTCAAGCTATCAAATTATCCCCTTTGGCACACTCAAGGAACATGCAAAATCCTTCAAAATGCGACGTCATACATAACATTATCATCAGTTTAACCGGTTTAATATGAGAAAACATTTTTTTTAAATCGTTAATTACTCAAAAAGCTAAATTTTTAATAATTTGAAATTTTTCCCAAAAATTTTCAATAAAATGTCAAGAATTTTGGCGCCAATTAGAGTAGGTCTTTCTCCATAGCTTGGCGCTATTAATTTTTTCATTTAGACAAGTATTGAAAATGACCGAAAATCCCTATCATTCATGCAATTATCGCGGAAATAAATGATCGCCACAAACCCTCATTCTCGAGACACTGAAATAATTATTAGAGTGGGTTCAATCGATTTATTACGACTCATTACATCATCACCAATTTCTGCTGAGTAATAATTCAGTAGAATTATTCTTCAAGATTATTCCAACCGTTTTCTTTCACCTTCAAAGAACTCCTAACTTTTCAGCCATTAACGGCCATCACAGCAATTTTAATCAAAAAGCGAAAAAGAACGAATAGAGAGAACCAATTCTTTCAATAACTGCCAACGTTTCGAATACAAAAAGTGTTCTTCATCAGACCATTCATTTATTCTGCACTAGTTTTCAATCCATTAAAGGTTGTGACGAAAATAATTCAACCAAGGAATATAACTAAAGTAAAAAATCTGACAGTAAACGGACACTTGTCAGAGCCCTTCATAGGGGAGGGTGGGGTAAAATGGACACTTTTGATATTTAAAGAAATATTTATAACTCAGAGACAGATTTATCAATTGAAATCAGTTTAGACTTAACACAAAGGGAAAGAATTGTTCTTTTTATTGAAAAATAAAAAAAACATTCATTGACAAAAACATTGACAAAAAAAGTCAAAAGTGTCCATTTTACCCCACTCTCCCCTAAGTCTTACCAATAAGTTGCACATGAAGAAGAATTATTTTTTCTTTGATCTAAACTAGCGAACTACATTAATTTATACTATTTTATTTTATTTTCTTTCCAGTTCCGTTTTCACAATTAGTTTAATTTAATTTTATTCATCCTTATTATATATATCTATTTTTTCCTTAATTCGTAAGTTACAGTATTGAATGAAGAGGAATTATGTTAAAAACCAACAAAAAGTGTTTTTTTTTTGTGATCAAAACAAGAAACAAGAAAATTTTTTTTCTACATTTCTATCGGTGGAAACTTGGAATCCCTGTTTTTTCTTCCAATATCAACGAGATATGGATATTTTTTAATTTTTTGGTCCAATTTCAAAGAGAAGAAATAAAAAAATGTAAAAAACGTAGGCGGGAAGAAATAAAAAAATTAATTTTTCAATGTCTCTGGAAAATTTTAAAATCGATATATTTTTTCGAATAATGAAAGAATACCCATAAATTCGATTCCGATCCTCGTCTTTTTATAGAATAAATGGCAACAATTAAGAATTGGAGACCAAAAATTTTATGCTATTATTATTATGTAATAATAATACTAATTATTCTTGATTACAATAATTTTTTTTTTTATGCAAATGAAATTTTTCGTCTTCATGATCTGATTTCATTGAGCGGAAATGAGAAAAATGCAGGGACTGCTGATCAGCAAGAAAATAAGAGAAATTTTTTTTTTATTTTTCTGCAAAATTTCAAAACTAATTTTTTTTTTAATGACGAAAAAATATCAATATGTTCCCTTTCTATGATCTAATTTCAATGGAAGAAAGTGAAAAAGTACCAGAGATACGTGATCAGCAAGAAAATAAAAATTTCGATTTTTCAATGTTTCCGGAAAGTTTTAAAATTGATATATTTTTTCAAATAATGAAAGAATACCCATCAATTCAATTTCTACCCTCACATTTTGATAGAATGCATAAAAAAAATTGCAAAGAATAAAAATTGGAGACGAAAAATTTTATCGAATTAATATAATGTAATAATAATACTAATTATTCTTGATTACAATAATTATTTTTCCGATAATTGACACAAGATGCATGTGAATTTTAGGAGCCATGGCGGGAGCAGCGGCTGCTGCTTGCACAACCCCCCTCGATGTATGCAAAACTGTTCTCAATACTCAACAGGTCGATGTCCAGGTACAGGGAATGGTACACGCCTTCAAGCTAGTATACAGGTTTGGCGGTCTTCAGGGCTATTTCCGGGGTCTGAAAGCCAGGATTATCTATCAAACACCAGCAACAGCTATTTGTTGGTCTACGTGAGTTATTTACACTGTCACTCCTCAGCTACTAGTCACGCTTACTGGCATTTTTGTTTTATCTTCTGGTTGATAAAAATAACGATAATAGCATGATTTAAGGCGGAAAATACGGAGACAATTGCACATTTTCCTCTTTCCTTAACTGGAAAACACATCTTCAATCATGACTAAACCGAATTCAATGAAATTCCGTGATTCCCAAAAGGGCGTAGTCATTATAACATTCTGAACTTCTAGTGATATTTTTTTTTATACTGTTTTTATTTTTGCTTTCCAATGGAAGCTTCGTAATCGCTGGAATTACAATTTTTTATGTTAGGGTAACTTAATATGATTTTAAATTCCGAATATACAAATTTTAGAGGGTGTCAATGGATCAATCGAATTTCATGATGTTTTTTATAAATATAGACTTTAATAAGCTCTATTCATTGACACCAATTAAAATTTAATTTTTCAAATAGATTCTAAAAAATCGATATTTTTCGAAAAATCGATTGTCCCACTATTACTTAAAAAATTGTCATCAAAATGGAATTAATCATGGCTCAAACAATTAATAACAATGCCCTCTTGATTCTATTAGAATGTGACGGGGGTCACACATTTCATTGTTGAGTTACAGCACAACGAAAGCACATCGTTTATGTGATTTGAAAGAGAAAATCGGTTTTTTCATCATTACTGAAAGAATCATCAATAGCAATTAAGTCAGGGCTTGAAAAGTATATTTCAATGCCTTTTTAATCAAGTTGAAAAATGGTGAGAGCAGCGTCATTGGCCCTCCTATGATCCTCATCATCCTTATTCTAACCTTTGTGACCCTTAATCTGACCCTCGTGATCTTTATTCTGACCTTCATGACCCTTAATCAGACCCCTGTGATCTTTAATCTGACCCTCGTGACCCTTATTTTGACCTTTAATTATTGAGTTTTAATTTCGAATACCACATGTTGATCCCCAGAAGTCGATTTGGATTTTTATAATATAGAGAGATAGTTGAAAGATTTTTAGTGAAATAAATATGCGAGTTGATGAATTTCTACCAAAAATATTGCTGAAAAGAAAGAAAAATCAAATAAATATTTTTAAATGCTTCATTTCTCTGGATGTCGAAATAAAGTTCAAGCTTTTCATTTCAAATTTTAAAATGAGAGCAAATGCAACTAAATAGTATCGATTGATCGTCAGATATTGAATCTCGACAAAGGTCGATTTTAATGAACCGTTCCGTAATCTATTAAATTGTGCACTTCACTTCTAATTTGACGCAATATTTGAACTTGAAGGGAACTCAAGTTTTAGGCAAATATACGTTAAGAACCACACGTACACGATAAAGGCCCCCGTAGACGTAAATAATGCTCGTTATCACGTCTCCTATCACCTCTTATCGCACCTCGAGATTGCGAATGAAAGAGGAACGAAGTTGTCAAGGCCAGTTTAGCTCATCAATAAATAATCCCACTCTCTTCAATTCAGGTACGAATTCTTCAAGTATTTTTTGCAAAGGAGAGAGGATGAAAGGCACTTTGAGCGAACGAGCCCAGAGAGTGAGGACCTATCATCAGTGAGTCCACCTTACACACCCACAATATCAAGAACCTCAACACCAACATTTTCAGGAAGCGGATTGATATACAATAAATCACCGGGTCCTGTTTTGCTGGACGTGACCCGGAGCTAGGTACTGAACATTCAAGGATAAAAGAAAACTAAATCGGTGGGAAAAAAAGCCGAAAAGACAAGTGGAAATATTCAACTTTTATATTTCAAAGAGTTTATTAATGAATGATATTTTGTTAAATTGGCTTTGTTAGTGACGATGATATCTCTGAACAATAATTATACTGGAGATGATAAAATTTTTGAATTAATTCGAAGGAATGAATCGAGTGCAGGACACTTGATCATTCGGTCATTCGAGAGAAAAAATGGGAAAATTGAGAAATGACAAAAATTTTATTCGTTATGCATCACGTTTAGATCGCATTATGAGTGATGAAGTCGCACTGTTTACTGTTTCACCGTGTATATCAGTCCTGAAAGGTTCTGAGGGATAACGAAAATTTGTATTCGAATTTTCTGAGTATTTCGTTTAGTCGACAAAACGCTAGTTTCAGAGGTGAAGTGGTAGGGGCACAGGAGATGTTCCGATTATTCTGCGAATTTCTTGAAAACTATCACATTTAGAAATGGATGTCACAGAAGCTTTTTTGGAGAAAATTTCATGGGCTGCAAAAAATGTATTCTGACATTTTTTTTTAAATGTGATAATTTTGGAGATATTCAGAAAATAAAGTGAATGAATTTTTTCATTGCAAAATGGATTTGATATTATTTTCCATATACATCCTGGAAATTGATGAGTATGGAGAGGGAAATTTATGTAAAGTTTTTCTCTAGACCCATTCATTCCCGGGATATTTCGGACTCCTCTTTTTTCTCTACTACTTCGGGAAAGATTTACAACTGCACGTGTTCACACCTACCTAAAAACTGAAAAATGTTGAATCAATTCTAACTCAAGAATAGTATTTCTGTTTTTTAGTTATTTAATTATTTCTTTTCGTTAAATTACTATTACTCCATTTATTATTTCTCCTCAATTTCCATTATTCACGACGTTAAACCGTCGAGACATTTTTCATTGATGCACCAGGAGCATAAACACAAAGTGTATGGAATAAAGGCGCAGTAAATGGGTGAATTGAGATCACCCAACACAAAAACGATTGAAAAAAAGTGACGTTGAATCCAAGTATTTGCATACAAATCATTGTCGTCACGAATCCACAATAAGTGAGATCATCGATGAATTATAAATATTTCGTGAGTTTGTGATTTCAATTTGGAAATTACAGGCATCTTGTTTGTCCATTATCATTACCACAAACCTCAAATGTTTCGTACTGATAAAAAAATGATATAAACCATTCAAAGCAGGAAAGTTAGTTCACTAGAAAATCAGAGTCACAAATGATGAATTCCCTAATTAAACGATAAATGACTTTCGTTGCGAGTGAGGATTGAGTCGATGCTTAGGAAGTTCAGCATAATCATAAATACTTGAATATGCTCATAATCTCAATTCAGGAATAAGAGAGAAAAATCGAATGACCCAACGATGCAAAATCAACTGATTCAGTAGTCACAAGGTGGAAATGGAATTTGCACTATTGTTTTCCTTTTCCTCAATTTTATTCAGTTTGATTTCTCTTTGTATTTGTAACCGGTGTTTGAGGAAGTGGATGACTTGATAAACGGTGAAGAAAGCGGAAAGGATGACCACAGGAAGAGAAATGAAAGAGAGGAAAAAATATGTTTATTTACTCGAAAAATCTTCGTTCCTAATTCCGTATAATATTGCTTCCTTATGGCTGTGATAACTGAGTCAAATTCATCTTGATATTGACTTTAAGAGGGAGTAATATCGTGTGAACTGACAGCCTTCACGCCATATAATTTATTAATATTTTTTACGTAACATCTTCAGTCGTAATTATTCATCAATACTCCTGATTATCACGCAATGATGAATGAAGAACAATGTCATGAATCTTCTGCATTGAATTTGTGTATTAATTAACAATTCTGTTCGACACAAAAAAAGAAAATTTACACCCTAGTGTATAACTCCAGATAAACTCACGATTACGATTACTTGAATAATTGTACTATTTGACATATTACTGAGTAATAAAAATAAATGAGAAAGATGGATGGATGAAGTCAATCCATAGTGTATCGATAGTGTACATAAATGAATGAATAAATAATTGTATAGACATTGTGGATTTTTTATTATTATTTCAACAGCCTTACGATACGTCAAAATCGAAAATTTTTTTATTAAAAAAACGGCCAGAGCTGATGGCATATCCTTAATTGATGGCCTCGAAGGTATTCCTCCACCGATTTTGTTTTCTCTTGAAGATTTTTATTGCACAAAATTTATTGAGTTTTAGAATAGAATTCTGTAGTAAAAGCACTAGAATTTTTTAACGGAGTTTTTTTAAGTGAAATAAATTGTGCTAGATTTCCGGTTTCTGGGAGAAAATACCAGAAGATTTTTTTGTCTAGAAAAAATTCTATTAATAACTCAATTTATTATATTGATTTGAAAAAGCACTCGTTAAAGAGGTAATGAAAGAATTGACATTCAAATTTTGTAGAAAAAAAAAGCGCCTTAGCTAGAAAATTCTATTCGATTTTTAGTGATATTCTATTGGAAATTCGACTGGGTTTCTATCGATTCTATTGGACTATCTAACTTTTTCGTCACTAGTGCGTAAAGTGAAATTTCACGCACACTCCGCGTGCGCAAAATCTCGCATTCCACACATTGTGATGAAAAATAGGGTTCGACACTTGTGGGAAAAATGTTCTTTGATCCTTGGGAGGGCGTTGTATATGAGATATTCCACGTCAAATGAGTCAATTGCCGACCCTCACCCTCTTGGAAATTAATGACGATTTTTTCTACAATCGGGGAGGTTGAAAAACTATCTCTCAAATTTTTTCAGATTTTTTCGACAGCCCAATTTGGAGATGTGATTTTTTTCACATTTTTCCGTTTTTTCCAATAACTTGAGTTCTTTTTTTTTTTATTAACTTGAGTTCTATTAGTCCGATTTTGATTTATTAAGCGTCAAAATTTTCCATTTTTTACCGTCTATACGACTATTTTTTGTAATTTTTTTTTCGATTCCTAGATTCTCATAATAACAAATTTTCGAAAAAAAAAAAAGTTGAAAAACTTGAATTTTGCAAATTACGTCACGGATGATATTCAAATTTTTTTTTCCAGTAATTCTCATAATCAAAACAAGTATTTTGAGCTGTCATTCAAGTTGGGCATCCTCCTGGATCTATGTTATTTTTAATTTTTTCTTTTGGAAATTTCGCAAATTTGGTCAAAACACCACAAAACGACTTCGACTATGTATCGAAAAAATATCTAATATATAGGTGTACAATCAAATTCACTTCATACTGTCTATAATCAAAGTCAATAAACGCCATTTTGAGGTATTGCGACCAATTTACGGAATTTCGAAACGAAAAAATTGAAAATAAAATAGATCCAGGACGACTGAGGAACGATCCTGTCCAACTTGTATGATGACTCAAAGTACTTGTTTTGATTATACGAATTACTAAAAAAAGATGAAACAAATTATCCGTGACTTAATTTGCAAAATTCAAGTTTTTCAAGTTTTTTATTCGAAAAGTTGTTATTATGCGCATCTAGAGATCAAAAAAACATTTCACTAAAAATATTCTTATAGGCAGTAAAGAATGAAAAATTTTGACGCTTAATAAATCAAAATCGGATGGATAGAACTCGAGTTATTGAAAAAAACCGGGAAAACGAAACGAAAATCATATCTCCGAACTGGACTGCCGAAAAAATCTGAAAAAATTTGAGATACCTATAGTTTTTTAACCTCCCCAATCGTAGAAAAAATCGCCTTCAATTTCCAAGAGGGTGAGGGTCAACGGTTGACTCATTTGGCGTGGAATACCTCATATACTTCGTCACAATACACTTTTATGGACTCGTATCGAAATGTACTACTTTCATTTTCCTTCACTCTATTTTTCTCTCGTCTCCTTAAAAAAATCAAATGAAATAACTAGAAAAATTTAGGCCAAGAAATTAGTATAAAAATATCTCAATAGAGTAAACTGTATAGGAAATAGTATGTTGTGTTACACACATGAAAAAAATTTATGGAAAAGCCTAGCAAATTCGCTAGACAATTCTATTGAATTTCTATTGAACTTCCTATTAGTTTTTAACCGATTCTACTGAAATATTCAATACAAAAAAATATTCTATAGAACAAGTCAATAAAATTCGATTTTTCTATACACCTTATTCTATTGAGATATTTTCTATCGAATTTCCTTATTTTTTTTTGTGTGATTTTCTTGAGAAAAAGAAGAGAAAATGGAATGAAAAAACTTTGGAAAATTTGAGCCGAGAAAATTCTACAGAAAAAATACTCAATTCTCAATACATTAAATTGCAACATTTGCAATTGTCAAAATCATCGAAACAATTGAATGATTGATTCAAACAATCGCACGCGTCGCGTTAATTCTGCGTTGCGCTTCATTGTAGAATGTCCTTTACACATACTAAACCGTTTCGAAAAGTGCACTTTTCAGACAGGTATCACAAAAATCAAATTTTATTGATTTTTTTGTATAAAATGTTTTCTATTGAAAGATGCCGCAGAATAGCCACCATAGATTGGCATCAATCATTACTTATAATAATATTATGAGAAGTGGCACCTTATAGTAATTTAGATTTATTTATCGTAGTTGAAATTTGAAAATTTATATTGATGGTTATTTTTAAGAATCAAAAAATTGGTGAGTAACATCAACAATTGACTTATTCCAAATTTAACTGCGATTCAAAATTTCTATTATGCCAATGTCTGATAGCCACAGATTTTTTTCACTAGAATCGTTCGAAAAACTGATAGATTTCTCAATAGAAGTCCTATAGACATCCAATAGAATTCTGTAGCGAATGCGCTAGGTTTTCCTACAGAACTTTGTCGAATGTGCAACTATGTGGTAGTAGCTAGAGATTTTTGTTCCATAATACATTTCAAAATCATCTCAGGACGGAATGATTTCAGTGTAACAAACTTCAGAGGTAACAAATTAGTTCAATATTTTTTTTTCATCCACGTTTTCGATCTTTATTTCTAATTTTCAAGTAAATAATGGCACGTGGGGGTGCTTGCGACGCACTTTGTCAAGCATTCAGAAAAGAAACCATCGATAATGAGGATAAACTGCGCATGAAATGGTTCATTAAAAATCGATCGCGTTTACTGCAAGATCTGGAACGAGACGATGAACATATCAAAGAAAAACTGAAGAAATTCAAGCTTGAGAGTGAACGGTGGGCGGCGAAACCGGAGCCAGGAGTACAGATGATTTTTCTCGGGGGAAAAAAATTATTCATGAACCAATTTGCATGAGTGTATTTCATTCTAGGAAGTCGAAGTAGAAAATGAAGTGCCAGCATCGGTAAGAAGTCATGAAGACAGTGATTTGACTTTCATGCGGCCCATTGATCCTTCACTACTAGATATTCTATATGATAAGAAGGAGGTGAGCCACGAGGCGAGGAAAAAATACCTGAAAGAGAGGTTGTTTAAGTTCATGATTACTGCAATAAAAACACAGATAAATCAATAGTTGTAAAACAGGGCGAAAAAAATTTGTTGTAGCTTTTAAAGTAGTTCTACCCTTCAGCCGGGCTACGCTGTACTTTTGGAAAAAATTAGAAAAAAATCATACCCAGTCAGTATTATCTAAATTAAATTTCGCAAAATATTGATATTTTTTTCAAACATTTCCCACTTATAAATAAATAATAAAACTGGTTTGCAAAACGGTGGATCATTTTTTATGAGGTGTCAAAAAAATCCTTGACTTTTTCACATCTAATGAAAAAAAATTCAGATTTTAATCTTTGATTACAATGGAAATGTTGATTTTCACATAAGACACTGGGTTAAATCCTGATTTTTAAACATTTCTTCCTTGAAAAACCAAAACGATAATTAAATTGAGAAAAAATTAGAATTCCGAATCTAATCGAGTTTTCTGCAATTTTTTTGCAGTTTTCAATAAAAAATCTTTGAATAAACCGTAAATATTACGGTTACGGTAAATCTTTGAATTTACCATACGGGTAGAGCTACTTTAAGCAGTTTTATAGTAAAATATTCTTCACTCGAATTTTACTGAAGGATGTTGTAGTAAAATAAAATAGTTTATTCATAGTATCGCGCATAAAAAAAATTCAGGAGAAAACCTAGCGAATTCGTCAGAAAATTCTATTGGAATTCTATGAGATTTTTATTGGAATTCTATTAAAAAAATCTACTTGTTTTTTTCGCTGATTCTATTGCATATTTGATAGAAAAAAGTCAATATATTGTGAATTTCTGTTTGAATTTTTCTCTTGAGATTTTTTCTACTAGAATTATTGGGCACAAATTTTCCAAGTTTTTTTCCACTGTATTTTGTTCTGTTTTGCATTACAGAATCCGAGTGTTAAAAATTTAGAAAATTGATGCCTGAGCATTCTTATAGAAAAAATCTCAAGCGAAAAATTCAAACAGAAATTTGAAATCTTCATATCTATAAATATTTGTAATTATAGTTATGGCTATAGTAATACCGATGAATAGAGTTAAATTACAGCCGAATAGATCGGTGACAAAAAACCTCCCATGGATTTTTTAAAAGGGAATCCCAATGTCCTTTTTTTAAAGGGGTTCCCTTTCCAAAAGGATGACTGTAACGGATTTTGGAGCTAGTAAATGGGCCTTACTGTATATATAGTATCAGTAGGCGCAGAGCTTAGCCGTCATCTCCTGATATAATATTATAATATATATATTATATTTATTATATTATATATATTATTATATGTATCGTATTATTATTGTATTAATATATACATATATATGCATGGCGATTATTGCGAAATTTTTGAAATGAGATGAGATGTTTTGATATACATTTATTTCGATAGATATTTTTTATATTAATATTATATTCCGATACACACTTTCTTCCTTCTAGCCCCCCATTCTCGCTTGGGCGTACGAAGCGCGCCGCGTTTCTAGTTTAGGTAAAAATTTCACTAAAGTTCTGTAATTTTTACAAAAGTCCTAATGGAAAATTCTGAACAGTCAAATTCAGGGATAACTGTCAGCAAAAATTATCTTTGTGGAGAAAATCTGGAAGAAAATTCATTGTAAATGATTAAATGCTCCGCGAGAAATATCTTTATATTTTGTTATAAAATCCCAAATCAATTTCCAATTCAGAGAAAAGAAAATAGAGTAGAAAATACATGGAAAATTCATGTCAAGGCATTTCAATAGAAAATTTTTCAATAGAAAGATGAAATTCTATGAAAAAAGGGGGGTAACCTGCGGAATTCTTTAATAGAATCAGCCAAAATCTAATAGATTCTTCAATAGAGGTACAACAGAACACAATAGAAACCCCTTGAAGCTAGGTCCTCTCCCACTTTTTTAAGGACCCTAACAAACACCAACAATTATCACTGTCAGCGTCATAAAATCTAGAAACCTTGAAATTTCAGCCCGGTCCACGGATGAAAAAATTTAATAGAAAAACCTAGCGAATTCGCTAGAAAATTCTATTGGATTTCTATTGAACTTCCTATTAGTTTTTGGCCGATCCTATTGAAACGTTCAATAGAAAATATTTAATAAAAAAGTCAATAGAATTCGATTTTTCTATATAACTTATTCTATTGAGAAATTTTCTATAGAACTTCATTGGTTCAAATTTTCAAAGTTTCTTGGTTTGATTTTCTTTATGAGAAGAAATTAAAAATAGAATGAAAAAAAATTGAGAATTTGAGCCGAGGAAATTCTATAGAAAATATCTGAAGAGAATAAGTTGTATAGAAAAATAAAATTCTATTGACTTTTTCTATTGAATATTTTCTATTGAACATTTCTATAGAATAGGCCATAAATTAATAGAAAATTCAACAGAAATCCAATAGAAATTTCTGACGAATTCTCTAGGATTTTCTATTAAATTTCTTCGCGCGTGTCTCCTCTCGATTCTCCATTTCCCCTTCACCAAAAATAAAGAAAAGATTTTGAATTCCAGATGCAAATTAGCTCCAGAGGACAGATTCCTCTTGATGGACTGTACAAACTGGTCCTACGGCTGGAAAGTTAAAAAATTTCAGACTATTCCGCCCAAGGACTTCAATCGCAAACCTCTGATACGAACGAATTTCTTCAGAAATAATTTATCAAGTATCAAACACGATGATAGGCCATGTTGCAAGAAAGGTCTCGTAATGTTTGCAAAGAATTTCAAAGAGATCCAAGAGTACTGAGTGATCAATATGAATATTGGTATGAATAAACAATTGAAAATTGTGACAGAAATGTTGCTTCATAAATTTCGGTGTCAGAGATGAAAAATTTAAAAGTTCCACGATGGTACCAGGATCTTTCCACCCCTCAGGTAATTTCAATGGAACGCAAACAAAATTTGTCACAGAATTTTATGAAACCATTTGTCATTGATCGACTTAAATAAATTTTCTTATTTACGGAACTAGATGGAGATGATCTTTGCTCTCGGAAAATTGATAAGACGTGATCACGAAGAGAAAATTACAGACAGGACCCAAAAGGCCCTGAGGGACATTGGGATAACGTCAACATTCGTCGAAATTAAACCGAAGGACATTCGAAATCTTTGGATAGCTAGTGATTTAGATCCTGTAAAATTCCTCTGTGAAATCTATCGTTTCATCACTGGAAGTTTTTTTGAGGAAGAAACGTACAGTTGAGTGAACGTACATAAGTCGAGCATAGATCAAGGATACAGTGATGAGAAGTTGTTACACTTCACTGATGAAGCAACATTTATTTTTAGAAAAATTTTACGACTGCAATGAGAGAATCGTGCTGTCGTCTATTGCTTTCTTGAAACTTCCAGAGACGATAGTTGAGCTTCATCGTCGTTTGCCCATGGGGAGAGTCCATAAACTTCCACCGAAACGTGAGTCATTTTGCATGTTCATTAGAACGAGTGAACAGCTGGAAATAATCGATTTACTTAAGTTGCAAGGAATGAAAAGGGTAAATTATTAAATTCCGGACCCAAAGAGAGTTATTGTAATTACCTCGAAAGTTAAATGTGGAATTTTCATGGTTTGTCGACAATTCATGACCCTTAGAATCATTCTGTGTGCATGTGTGTGTGTGTGTGTGTGGGTGGATGCGGTAAAAATTTTGTCCAACGATATCTTTTGAACAACTGAACCGATTCAAATTTTTTTTCTATCGATGTGTCTTCATGTAACTTAGAACTGATTAGTTTCTGAAGACGATTGTCTCCGCAGCGTTGTATAGTTATTTGCATAAAACTTGTAAAGAAAACGCCAAAAAGCGACAATTTCATTGAAATTCGACGATTTTACCTAAGATAACGATGGGATACAAATTAATTTTGTGAAATCGATGCATCTTCACATAACTCGATTCTAATTGGATGTTGAGCGGAATCGTCTCAGGGGCTGTTCAGTTCAGGATGAAACTTTTCAAAATTGTTTTCTGCAAATTATTCTGCAAGTATCCCTAGATATTATGAAAGTTCAGACAAATTTTTCAACCGACATTTTTTAAAAAGAAAATTTTCTACTAAAAAAAATTATCATTCTCCTCTCATTTTCCTCTGGATCTGGTAGTTTCAGATATATTTGCACCGCATATTATCATGAATTTACTCAAAAATTCAGTTTGATTTCCTTTTTTAGTAATTTCACAGAAAAATTTCAAGAGACCCTACCAATGATCGTTGAAATTTTCTACGAAAAATCTCTTCAATTTTTTCCCCCAATCCTTTTTAATAAACCTGTAGGTAAGCCTATTTCTTCGTTTTAAGAGAATGTATTTTTTAAAAATTTTGTAAATTTTGTTAAAATTTTCATATAGTTTCCTAGAAAACAATTTTTGCCAGTGCCATCTAAAATTTCACAGGACATCGGCAATTTGTCGATATACTGTTTGCTGGGTTGTTGCGGTAAATGCCTGTTCTCTACAACATTGTTATTTAACAACATCATCCTTTTTAGCTATCCCTCCTAAAGCTGTATATCAAAAAAGAAATGAAGAGTCCCCGTATTTGGAATACCCAGTGGTCCGTCCAAATTGGCGAACATATCGCAGTGAACTGAAGAAATGGCAACGGTTGCGAAAAGGCAGAGTCAATCCTCGTGTTATATTACCTGTTCCCTGTCTAACGGGCTCTGAAGATCTTGACCTCGAAATCGTAGATGATTTTTCGCAAATTGGAGAGTCTCCAATATTGAAGCAAAAACAAACACTGGAGAAGAAAGGTCAAAGTATAAAAAGAATCACGAGCAAAACCAGTACTGCAGCTTCGTCTCTCGGTCTCTCGAAAATATCGGGAATCAGTTCAAAGAAGAGTAAAACCCTGCAGAGAGAAAAAAGTAAAGCTCTGCAGAGCGAGAAGAGCACGGAAAATACAACAACTATCGAGTTCGAAGATGAAAATACCGTTGACCCTGTAGAAACATATCAAGACAAGGTCGACTCCTACTTCGCTAAGCTTACGAAGAAATCATATCCACCAGGGAGGGAAAATTTATCCCAAAAATGGCAGGATTTTCTTCTGGAGACTGACGAAAACTTCGGAATGTTCGAGAAGGAGGCAAATATTATCTTGAAAAGTGTTCGAGAATCCACGAAGAAAATATTTAATCCTGACGTTTGCGACGGTTGCTGCGCCTGCAGACAAATTAGAGAAATGGATACCAAGGCTAAGGAATCAAAAAATCCTAATTTGGTCATTGATAATGTCATTGCTGACGATACGGGAAAACGGTAATCGTTCTTTTCTAAATAAATGTGAAAGCTCGTGCTTTGAGCTCCACAGAGGGGAGGATTTTTATCGAGGGGCTGGTCACTCCTCAATCGCGCGAGTCGCTCAGTGATTTCCAGAATGGGATGATTTCCTGCGATTTCTTGAATGATTTCGGTGACTTCTCAATGAGAATTAAAAATCATTATTTTTTGTTATTTCTTGTGATTTCCATGATTTCTAGTAGATTCTGATGATTTCTAAATTTCAAGAAATCACTCGAAAAATCATGATTTTGGCGCCGAAGTGGGACATCTGTTGATAATGCCAGCTTTCTACATGACGTTGTGATACGTACGGTTGTCAAAACTAGGGATTGAGAGCGAAACTCAAGAGGGACGCGAAAGTCCCGCTCTTGCGCTATAGTTCATGCGCAACACCCCCTTTCTGTATGCAATGGTATGTCGATGGACTTTTATGATGTTTTTCTATGTTTTTGTGGGTGAGGAATCCGAATCTATCGGTGTTTTTTACCTAAAGTTATGCGAACACTTTGTTATTAACAATTCTCAGTCCCATTTCGTGCAAAATCGTTTTTTTCGCGAAAACTATCATATTTACCGCGAAATAAGTCCTTACCAAATTTATTCCTTAGGTTTTAACGAACAAATTGCTTTTTTATTTGTTCAAATCGGATGATTAGTAATGGAGTTATGCACATTTGTTTATGGGAATAGCGCGCGCCAACGTCGTCCACGGGTCGCGCGCGCCACTATCCACCCAGAGTATTTTTTTTCCTTACGGAGATAATGGCAATAATCGAAAAAACGTAATGATTATTTTAATTAATTGTTTTTAACTTAGACGAATGTTATTCAGTTACCTTTAAATCCCATTGTCAGTTGCGGAGATATTTTCGAAGTGTTAAAAAAAGAAGACGCGCGTTGTTTTGAGCAGCATACGTCCACTGTGCCGAATTCAAGGAATCGACACCTGCCCACGATGTAAACAATACACCAGGATAGTTCTTAGTAAAACAAAAATAACCGTGGACAAAATAATCGTGAATAAAATAGTCAAAAGCGTTAGTACCATCGGGACTTTTGTCGAGTGCGGGTCGCCATAGAGCCCCTGGATTTTGCAGCGATATGTGAATATAATTTTCTATATGAATGCATGAAATTATATTTAATTATTTGAAGAAACTCATGTATTTTTAATGTGCAGACTCTCTCCCTACACCACTAATTTTTTTTTCCACATAATTTTATAAGGATACTGTACTCAAACAGATGAAGCTATTGATATAGGTATGAATATGAATGCAAGCACGTTCGTGGTGACATTGTCGATACTGGCGATGGAATTGAGGTAAATAAATAATGTACTTCCAGGCTAAAAACAATTAATATACCTAATCATTACGTTTCTTCTATTATTGCCATTATCTCCGTAAGGAAAAAAAAATACTCTGGGTGGATAGTGGCGCGCGCGACCCGTGGACGACGTTGGCATGCGCTATTCCCATAAACAAATGTGCATAACTCCATTACTAATCATCCGATTTAAACAAATAAAAAAGCGATTTGTTCGTTAAAACCTAAGGAATAAATTTGGTAAGGACTTATTTCGCGGTAAATATGATAGTTTTCGCGAAAAAAACGATTTTGCACGAGATGGGACTGAAAATGGTTAATAACAAAGTGGTCGCATAACTTTAGGTAAAAAACACCGATGGATTCGGACTCACCCCCAAAAATATAGAAAAACATCATAAAAGTTCATCGACATACCATTGCATACAGAAAGGGGGTATTGCGCATGGACTACTATCCATCCCGAGAGTGCTCTTTCAAAGAGTGAAGGCCCGGGTGTACTATCTTTCGAATGTTATCTGGATTTTTTTCATCTTTCGTAATCCAAAATTATCAATTGAGTGGTACATCATGTAGAAATCTCCAAAAATTATGATAGAATGATAAAAAAAAAATAGAAAAAATTCTGATCTTTTTCAAAGAGCGTTTTTAATTGAGATTCAGAATGAGTTGAAAAAAGTGGAAATTACAAATATCTGATTCGCTCTGGCAAATTATCTATTAGCTGTCATTTTCCATGGTGGATAACAAAATCCTAACTGCTCATGGGAAGTCACAGCTAAGTATCTCAATTTTCAAAACAGTTGTATGTAGTCATCTGCTATTTTTATGTGATAAAAGAGTGATTAAAAAATTCTCCAAAATATTACAACTTTTTTCAAAGAGCCTTTTCCGTAATAAATGTCTGTGCAGTGTGGGAAAATATTTACGAAATCAGTCTTCCCCCTGCATGATATTGGGTGACAGGCCGCTATTTGTCACCGTAAATTAGATACATTTTTCACTTTCTTGTTATTCAACTTATTCTGAATATAAATTAAAAATGCTCTTTGAAAAAATTAAGAATTTTTTCTACTTTTTTTTTAGTCCTCATTCAGAATTTTTCAAAACTTCTGCATGATGCAGGACTTAATTGACAATTTCAGATGATGAAATATGAAAAAAAACATCGAGATAACGTTCGAAAGATAGCACACCCGGGCCTGAAATTAAAAGTGAAATGTTGGGAGCGCTCTTACAACGAGCTAAACTGGGAGTCAAAGTTTGGGAGCACTAACTGCAAAGAGTGAAATTGGGAGTGAAATGACGGGTGCGGTTCCTTAGAGAGCAAAATGGGGAGTGAATGCGCAGTTGGAAGTGAAATGTTAGCAGTAGGGGTGTGCGAATATTCGAAAATTCGAATAATTCATCGCGAATCGAAATCGAATAATTCGATCCAAAAACGAATCGGATCATTCGAAAATTTCGAATTATTCGAAGCCTCGAATTATTCGAAAATTTCGAATTATTCGAAGCTTCGAATTATTTGAAAATGTCAAATTATTCGAAAGTTTCAAATAATTTGAATCATTTCTTTCTGGTCTCACAGCCGAGACGATTTGGTGAAGGGGGAATGCATCAATGAGGAGACGGTTTATGTGGTATCTCTAATACATGGAAGGGAGGAGTTCTCTCTTCTTCATTTGTCAGGACACACCCAGGGAAAGACTTCTGGGAGATAAAAGTCTGGGAAGTTAGATGGGTGAAACTTCTTCGAAATTATTAGCTGAATTTTTGCGGAATATTTCCGAATCTAAGAGAGATAGTGAGATTTTCACAATGACCTTTTTGATAGCTCTCGAATAGCTCTAAAAAAAAGATCCTAACAAGAATTCTGATATCCACATTCGATTTTGACATATTCAGCGAAAACTACTAGTTGAAACGGATTGAAACCGTTTGACCGCCTAACTAGTGAAATATGTTCAGCTTTAGTTACAAAGAAAAAAATCAATTGCAGTTAAAATATTTTCATGTAATTCTCCTCCGATTGAGGGGAATACGAGACATTTTGTTGCAGTTCAAGAATCTATGCTCGAATAAAATTTTTTCCTTCAATAATGAACATTTCCTTGCGTTTTCCATTCATACCTACCGATTTTATTTCCATGAAAGAAACAACATATTGAATTTTATTCCACTAAAATTCATCAATTTGCATGTTCTTCAGTTTAATCTGGGGAAATATTTATCTCCCTCAGAACGTGAAGTTTTGATAAAATTAAAATAAAACTGTTGAAATGAAGTCGATATTAAATAGCCATCGAAACTGAGGGTCACCAGGTTCAAATATGAGAGTCCGGAATGTAATATAGTTGGAAAAGTGACTCAACAATATAATATAGATAAGAAAATGACGGTAAAACATACAGATCAAAGTGACCCTCGTGGCCCTCAATTTTAACCCATATTCAATATAAACCTTCCCTCCTACCCATATGTTTGTCATTTTTTTATCTTCACTTACAATCTTTATTTGTGACCTTTCTGACTTTCATCTTTAACTCTTATTTTCGATACTTAATTTCGACTCTCACTTATTACCTTTATTCTGAATCCATAATCTCGTTGATCATTTCTGACCCTTATTTACAACCCTCATTACCGGCTCTGACTTATGCTTTTCATTTCTGACTCTCACGTCTGAATAACTAGTGGAAGTTCAGAATAGTGAGGGATACTGATTTGAGTTTGTTATTGTTTATACTGTACCGGCGCCATAAGACTTTTAAAAATCGATCTGTCCACCTGGAGGTAGAGTGTCAGTGAATAAATTCACAATATTCTGGAATTTAATTATTCATTTCCATTTTATCTGAGTCAAAAATGGATAATGATGAGAATCGTGAAGAGGATGTTCCATCAGATAACGATGAAAATGGGACAGAAACATAAAAAAATCAAAGAAGTGTATAGCTTGGAAGTATTTCACTGAGATGAGAAAGGACGATATTAAATGTGGGAAATGCAATTATTGTGATGCCGTAATGCAGATAAGAAAAGGTAAGTACTGATTAATTAGTTTTGGGGGCTAAATTACGATGGTAAATTTATCTAATGGAAATTTATTAATCAACTAAGCCCTCTTGGATTCGACGTTCAAGTCTGGTCTTGGGCATAAATGACAGGGTTAATCGTAGACATTCATGGACAAAACTTCAGAATTGTAAAAATTAGAAGAGTTGTAAATAGTTATTCCAAGTTTAATTATCCATAGGTATATTCCTTATTTTTGTGGCTAGCTACTTCATGCATATCGCATTTTCTTTGTTCTGCATGGGCATTTTGTTTCCCTTTGTTCTACCCTTTGTTCTTGTATTCAGGGGGAGGGGGTGATATTTGCAAATAGTAGGAGGGACTTAGTCCAGTGGTGACTGTGTCAATCACCGCGTAGAACACTACAAAGGACACGGGTTCAAATCCCGAGTGCATATAACTACTTTTTTTTTCGATCGCGATCGAGTTCGGATTCTATATAATTTTATACATGAAACGCTGGTCATGAAGTGATCCTCAAACCCGAGATCATGAGGTCATGTCAGCCACGATCGGTAGAGAAACTTACATTGATGAAATTGGGATTTGAATCGTAATCATAATATGCCCGTAAGGTAGAGAAGAAAAATTTGAATGTTTTTTTTTGTAATATCACTGCCGCAGAGTTAAAGAAATGTAAGTCCAATGCTCTTCTTTTCTTTTCATTTTCTATCGATGAATTAGTTTCCTGCAGAACAGTCATCTCTAGATAAATTTCAGTTGATAGAATAGCGCATTCGAAAATGATGATATAAAAAGGCGTATCTCCAGATTTAGAGATGAAACAAGTAGTTTTCTCGCTGACCAAGATCCGAGAATGAAGTCTAATTTCTTGCGACATTTCTCTAACAAAATCTCATTTGATCGAAAATTTCTTCAGGTACGACAACTCCGCTGTTCAATCATCTAGCATCGGCACATCCAGACGTTGCTATGCTCTGTGAGGCCGAGAGGAAGAAAAGAAAGCAGGAATCTGTCCATCACGCACATTCGAAAAGGCAGAAGAGACAGATGAGTCAAATAAAAAAGAAGAAAATTGACGAGCTGATCACAGAAATGATTGTTCTCGATCTCGAACCCTTCTCAGTTGTCAATTGAAGGGGGTTCAATAGATTTATCGAATATTTTGCTCCAGACTATGCTCCTCCTGATCGTACACACATATCTAGAGATCTCCTGCCAGAACTCTATGAAAAAACCAAGAGAGCTGTTGAGGAAGAACTCAAGAACGATGTGGAAAAACGAATTAATTGCCTATCATTCACCACTGATGGCTGGAAGTCAGCAACAGGTCATTCCTACTTGTCACTTACAGCTAGTTATGTCACTTCTACTTTCGAGCTGAAGAACTTTACGTTGGGATTAGAAAATTTACTGAAAGAGCACACTGGACGCAACCTGAGAGATACTTTGGAGGCCATACTCAGCGAATGGGCTTTGTCAGATTTAACTAACGTTCCAAAGTATTTTGTGACTGACAATGCTCGTAATATTACATCAGCAATTTCTGCAGGTGGATGGAATAGTGTGTACTGTTTTCCACATACTGTCCATCTTGCCCTTCAAGATGTTATACAAGGCATCCCGAAATTGAAGAAAAAATGCTCACAAAGGTATGCAATTAAACGTTTCTCTCTCGAACTAATTTTATAGTTAATTATTTTAACTATGATAACATAAGAATTTTTAAACCACAAATCTGATCGAGGCCCGTCAACACTTGTCGGGAACAAAAAAAAAGATTGGATGCATTTGTTCAGTTTTATTATTCATTTGGTAAGTTCAATGATTTCAAAATTCAATTTCACAGGTTCGTAGGATAGTCACTCACTTCAATCACTCTGATCCCGCTAGAAGAGCATTGAAGAATGCTCAACTTGAAAGAGGAGTTCAAGATCCCTTATCGTTAGTTCAAATGGTGGTCACGAGATTCAACAGCGAATACCTAATGTTACACCGAGTTGTAGAGTTGAAACAATCCCTCCCAGTAGCGATTTCAAATACTACTCTGAAAGAAACTATTAGTGGTCTTGAATGGATTGAACTGGAGAGAGTAGTGAAGGTACTCGAGCCATTGGTCATTGCGACGGAGAAGGCTTCAGCGAAGAAGACACCTACCTATTCCATGATCATTCCATTGATTCGGGGAATGATTCATAAACTGGAGAAGCTCTCCGCAGACTGGATGTCTGAGACACCGTCGCGAAGTCTAGCTGAAGGATTGATTGAGTCAATCACAGCCAGATTCCCGCAGTTGAATGAGCAAAAAGTGGCTACATTCCTCGATCCCAGGTGCAAGGGGGCTCTTTTCACACAGGAAGTGCAGAAAGAAGTAGAAGATGCGATTTTGGAGGAGATAGAGGAAGAGTTCGTATGCAGTAGTCAATCGTCAAGCAGCCAAAAGACATTGAGCGGCAGTCAACAGTCCCAGCAGTGTAAGTCTCGAATATTATTGATCGAGTGATCAAAATAATTTTCACTGTACAATTTCGAAAAAATATTTAAATTCCATGGACAGTCGACTACGAATTTCCAGCACAGTGGCACAGAATGCGATTTAGGGGGAAAAATAATGAAAATTCGGGTTTCCCAGATAATTCTGTGAATTTTCCGAATTTTAGGCAGCATGAAGACAAGAATTCCTCAACGTCTTTGAATTTCCAATGGGGTATGAGTATTCAATACCGAATTATATTGACTTCTCTGTGAAATTTTTTTTTTTTTTATTATTATTTATTTCCCCGGAAAACGTATTTGGTGTCACTGTCCTGGAAATTCAAGAATACATCTATCGGATTTTCGAGTTTTCTATTAATTTTCGAGGAGAAATTTAATTGACATTTATAGTTCTCAATAATTTTTCCACCCAATTGTAAATTTCCAATGAAGAAATTCCTTGAAATTTCAGTGGAACTTGAACGCTTGTATCGTTGACTTCAACTGACATGCGAATGATATTATTCAAAAAAGTGGTCCTCCAGTGGCTACTCCATAATCAGCCCAGTCCAGGATACCTGTCATTGGTCAGCTTCATCAATTAATAACGCATTAAGTTTATGGATATTTATTATTTGAATTTTGCAGCAAACGCATCCGATTTTTGGGACTTTATCGACGTCATCCGTGGGAATCAGTCTACATCAGGGGATCAAGAGTCTGCCACACGTCAAGAGATCGCTGGTTATTCATTGCTTCCACCTTTAAAGAAGGGAGACGATCCCCTTGATTGGTGGCGAAGTAATTCTACAGTATTTCCCAATTTGGCGTTCCTGGCCCGTAGATATCTCAGTATCCCCGCCTCTTCCGTCGACAGTGAGAGACTCTTTTCTACGTGTGGACAGGTGGCGGATAACGATCTACGATCAAGATTGCTCCCAGAAAATGTTAAAATGATAATTTTCCTCAACAAAAATTTGTAAAGATTCAATGCGAAGACACCACTCATGATCTTGTAGATGTATTACATCATCAAAATTGATGAGAGAATACCTACAATATGTATCATTCACTCTCACAGTATCAAATAAGAGACTGATAGTTAAGTAACACTGATTCAAGTATAACAAGGAAAAATATCTTTTCTTCCATCAATTTTTGTTTGTTCAAAGTGACAATTTGCGTACATAAAGTCACAGACTGGCTTTTACGTTCTTATGGAATATGAGGTCGTTTGCGATAAAACATTAGAGGAGATTCCATTGTGATTCCATTGACTCATTTATTTAGTATTCATCCAGCTCCCCTCGCAGTAATCCAATCATGAATCCGGAGCATTCGAATCAACTTGAGCTGAATTTTTTTTAATTTTTTGTCACTTAACAATTTCGACATTTGTGGGTTACAGGGGAATTTACGTATACTGTTTCATCACTGTACGTCTTCTTAGTTAGTTGATTATCTAGATTTTCGTTCCATTGTATGTTTTGATTAACAATTTTGACTTTCAACTATGATAAATAAACAGATTTGTCAATAATCATTTGTTGTGACTTCAATTCCTACCTAGCCACCTGGAAATTAGCACCGCAACTATCAATGAAGTTGATTGATGAATGAAAAATTTTTTGAGTATATTAAGAGATATCAAGTTATCTCATTTGCTTTGTCATAATAATAATATAAATATTTCCATTCGAATGAATTTAATATTTGAATCGTTCGAATTATTCGAATATTTTTCAAATTATTCGATCATTTCGAATATTCAATAAATTCGAATATTCGATTCGAAATTCGAATCGAATTCCACTATTAGATTCGATTCGTCCACTATTCGCACACCCCTAGTTAGCAGTTCTCCCTCCAAAGAGCGCTAGAAGGAGCGGTATCTTCTCTATATTTGATTACTCTTTATATTGCAAAATATGTAGGTTCTGAGTGGCTACTCACTCCATAATTGAGTGACACCATGATTTCGAAATGAAGTCGATTTCGGGTGATTTCGGTGATTTTGGCAAAAAATGATTTCGATGATTTCGAGTCAGTTCATTAATTCGAAATCAGCGATTTCACAAAAATAAAGTTAATAAATAATAGAAGTGGGGCAAAACAGGTTGTGTCAAATTATGAAAGTCAAAACTAACAATAATAACGAATTCGTTTGATTCCACTCCGTCAATCTTGAGCTAATGCCGATGAAAAGCGGTCCATTTTACCATTTTACTGATTTCAAGCGATTTCACGTGATTTCCGAGATGATTTCGAAAATGATTTTAGAAAGCTGAAATCACTCGATTTCAGTGATTTCGATGATTTCACGCGATCTGGAAATAATTTCATGCCAGAGTGGCGCCGTCATTTCCGAGATGATTTCGAAAATGATTTCGGAAAGCTGAATTCACTCGATTTCAATGATTTCGATGATTTCACGCGATCTCGAAATAATTTCATGCCAGAGTGGCGCCGTCATTTCCGAAATGATTTCGAAAATGATTTCGGAGCGCTGAAATCACTTGATTTCAGTGATTTCGATGATTTCACGCGATTTCGGAATAATTTCATGCCAGAGTGGCGCCGTGATTTCGGGAGTAAGTAGCCCCTCGGCATATCTTTCATATTTCGCCTGAAAATTATCCCGGTTTCTTCTCCCTCTAGATATGTCGTGGGTTCGCTCGGCATCACCTCCCCCGCAGAAACCATCTCCGACGACTCCCTAAACAAGCCCCTGATAATTCCCTCGGAGGATCGAATCCTCAAGATCTCAGTAATCGACTCTGTAACACTCAACGAGAAAGGTCAACCCATTCGCATCACCTCAGGGATCTCAAAACATGTCAATCACATCCCCGAGAGAGTCCTCCAAAAGTCACCCTTGCCCAGGAAGAACGTGCCCTCCTGCAACTGCAAGTCCTCGAATCCCGAAGAAAATTCCGGAAACGAGAATTCTTCCCCATGCGCTCACGAAGAAGCCGCCTGCACTGCCCAAAAATATAGAAAAAGAGAATTCAATAAATGCGGAAAATGTTCTGAGTCCTCGGACAATAAAGTATTCATAGAGTTTGAGAGGAAATCCCGAGAACGAGAAAGAAGAGAAGAAGAGGAGAGGATCAACAGACATAAACAATCTGGTCTGAATGAGTCAGATAAGACCGTTCAGCAAGATCAAATTGCAGTAGATGAGCAAGAGGAGATCGAGAGGTGCAAGAGGTGCAGTAATTCCCCAGACAAGTGTCAACGAAGTCCATTCAAGGACGTTTTGGACAGGCTTGCGCGGAAGAAAGAGGCAGAGGGAGAGAGAAAGAAGCCTTCGAAGAAATCGGGGATAAAGGAGTACAGGGACAACTTGAAGTTCTCATTAGGAGGTGTCGCGTCAAGCAACCAATTTCTGTTGGCTGGAGTCACCGTGCACACTCCAATTACAATCACTCCGGTGTCCAGTGAACCGGAGATCGATGTCTCTGCTTACGATAAACATCATCATTGGTCGGTGACCGAATTCGTGCCGAAAGCCCCGGCAGCTCTCAAAAAAATTGGAAAATTGTCTCAAGACAGGAAAGATAAAGATAAGGGAAGAGGTAAAGACAGTCATCAGAAGGTTGACGCGGAAATTGAAGAGTTATTTGATCGAGTAAAAAAAATAGATGGCATCGGGGAAACTAAAATAATGAAGGAAGACGGGAAAGATGTTGAAACGATTAAAGCCACAGAATCAGTGAAAATAGAAATAAATCCGAAGAAAGTCAGGGTGAAGAAGGGAGATTCGAGCGGACTTTACGATAAAAAAAGGAAAATTGAGAGAAAAGAGAAGAAAGTTAAAGGGAAGAGGAAGAAGAATTTGCCGAAATTGATGAAAGTATGACGTTAAACTTTAACAGTTGAAGACATTTTGCACTACAGGGAGAGAAATTTTTTAGAAAAATTCTAGTGCTAGCACGGGAAAAGAGGCGCAAAGTGACGGCCAGGAAAAAATTCCAATGCCGGCACTAGAAATTTTATTGGGGAAAACGTGACTTTTTCCACGTATTTCTGTGAAAAATTCACAGAAATCCCCAGGAAATTTACCAGAAGTATCAAGAAATTTTACCTTAACAGCACTAAAAGTTTTCACAGCCGGTGGATTGTAATTTTTTCCAGTACTCGTACTAGAATTTTTCTAGGAAATTTCTCTCCGTGTATTAATTTGGAATCTTTGTCATATAATGGCCTTTTTTTTATTTAAGTCATCTAATGGCTTCACACACAAAAAAATTATAGAAAAAGCTAACTTGTTACAAAATTCTATCGAATTCCTAATAGGAATTCAATTGTTTCTTCGCTGATTCCAGCAAAGAACTCCGTAGCTTTTCTGCGCGTGTTTGCGTTCTCTGCCCAAAAAACTATTTCATTAAAAAAAACTGAATTTGATTTTTCATACAACTTATTCTAGCGAGATTTTTCGAACAGAAATTACTTGATGTAAATTTTATTTTTTTTCAGTGGTTTTTCTACAAAAAAGTGGAAATTTCCACAAAAAATACCGCAACAGAATAAATTGTACAGAATAATCCATTTCTATTCATTTTTTTCTGTAGAATCTTTACTATTGGTGAAAATTCACAAAAAAACTGCTAAATTTTTCTATAGACTTAGCGAAAAACAAATAGAGTTCTCAATGGAAGTTCAATAGAATGCGCTAAATTTTCCAATGAAATTACTTTGTACATTTTCATTAATTGATTCAGGAAGCATTGGAAGAAATGGCCGAGGAAGGCTACCTATTTGCGAAACTCCCTCAGTGCCACAAAATTCCTCCTCTCCAGACGTGGATTCTGTACCGCAAGGGGTTCAAGATGACAGAGAAAAGGAAAAGTAAAGAATTCCCCCTTCAATTATAAATTAAAAGTCGCGATAACAGTTGATGAAAATAGCAAACTTGCATGGAGTTCAGTTTTCCCTAATTTCCGTATTTAACACATTTTACATAATCCGTAAGTAGCTAAGTGAAAAGAATTATGGAAAAATATTGTCTAGATATTTTATAGTATTATTTCGGTAATGATCTCAATAAATGATGCTGGGTAGCGTTCCGTTGGTCGAATGTGAGGAAAGAGGGGGTTGCCCCCATCCATTGGATAAGGCGCACGTGAAGATTGGATCGGGTTGGCTCAAGCCATTCTATGATTGGTCTAGCGTTCGACCACCCGTGTGACGTCATTAGCGATTTCAAATCGTTTGAAATATTCAACTTTTGGCAATCAATTATCAATTAACGAGCAATATTTCTGTTTATAAATGAAAAATTGATCGCTTAAAAAAAATCATGCAAGTTCCCTATTATTAATTCAGTAGTAAAGTGGTACCTCCACTTGACTTTGAGTTCAGTTTTTCGGAAATATTTTGAAATGTAAGAAAGATAGAAATCTCTGCAGAGACATTTCTTGTAGGTTTCATTCTTCTCCGAAAGAAGACAAGGCTTTCATAAAAATACGCGTATTCCGCTCAGATTCAATAGTATATTTCGTCATTAGGCCGAAAAAAACTTTTTTGGCGAATATGAGGTTTGCAGCACGAGCCGAAGGCGAGGGCTGCAATCATATTCGTCAGAAAAGTTTTTTTGGGCCGTATGACGAACAGTATTTTTTGTTATGACGGCCGTAGGCAGAGATTCACCGCTGCCTTACGGCCGAAATGACAAAAAAGTTTTTTTCGGCCTAATGACGAAATATACTATTCTAGCGAATATGAGTTTGCAGCCCGGGCCGAAGGCGAGAGTTGCAATCATATGAGCTAGAAAAGTTTTTTTAGGCCATGTGACGAACAATATTTTTTGTCATAACGGCCGGAATGACAAAAAGATATTTATCTAAAACTCCTTGTTCTGCTACTTAATCAATTTTTCAGAACTTTCAGTAAATTTCATGAAATGGATTGACAAAATTTCGCAAGTTATATCGGATTTGACCAGTCAGAAATTGGGGTTTTGCATGATCTTGTTGTATCGCTGAATGTGGAAATTGAAGGAAAACTATTGGACACAAATTTCTTATTTCGATGGTTAATAAAAATTGATGTGTTATAGGTGATTGAAAATATCTGTATTATGACGTTATAATGCAGACGTTTCTCTAATTAAGTCTCCCATTTGTCATCATTTTTTAAAACGTAAAATATTATTCGAGAAAAAATTGTCATGCAAAAAAATCAAGTTATCGTCTCACCATCAAATTCTGTTTTAGAATACAACTTATGAGAAGTTTATAACTCATAGCAGGGATCCCCATCAATATTATATTTTTGTAATATTACAAGGATTTGACCCTTAGATTATTGAGGGTTTTAAATATGTTGATTCAATTTTGCAAATAATATAATATTAATAATCTGATTTTTTACGAATAATGATATATTTAAAATTTGTTAATATGAAACTGTAAATTTACTACTAAGTGAATAATTTAAATTTCTTGAAAGGGGATTTTCAATTACACAAGTAATCGTCAATCTTCCTACCTCAAATTATTGATTGATAAAATAGTTGAAAATTTGAATATTTGAATTGATGATACTTAAGTACACGGAGAGAAATTTTTTAGAAAAATTCTAGTGCTAACACGGGAAAAGAGGCGCAAAGTGACGACCAGGAAAAAATTCCAGTGCCGACACTAAAACTTTTATTGGGGCAAACGTGAATTTTTCCCCGTATTTATGTGAAAATTTCACAGACATCCCCAGAAATTTTACCAGAAATACCAAGAAATTTTACCTTAAGAACACTAAAATTTTTCACAACCGGTGGATTGTAATTTTTTCCAGCACTCGTACTAGAATTTTTCTAGAAAATTTCTCTCCGTGTACTCAAAAAATTTCAACAGTGATGTTATCTAATTAAGGGCTGCAAAAGTAACCATAATAAAATATTACAAATTAGGCTATCCCTGACTCATAGTAGTTGAATATATCACAAATTCTACTGTAATCTATCGAATATTTTCCATAAATTCTGTAGAAGATCTTCTCGAGCAGACACAGAAAACTTGGGAGGCCTGCGAAGCCCATCTCTACAAAAAAATCAAAGCCCCAACGCTGCACCTCTCACAAGCTCAGAAGTTTGCGCTCACGTGGGATCAAATTCAGGAAATAAGGAGAAAGGTTCGAATTCAGTTGTGAATTGATGAAGCGAGATGGGTCGATTGGTTCACGATTTCTCAATTTCACTATATTATATTGTGTTATTCGAGGGACTGGTCACTCCTCAATCGAGTGACTCAGTGATTTCCAGAATTAAATGATTTCCTGTTGATTTCTGTGATTTCTCAAATGATTTTTGTGATTTCTCAATTACCATTGAAAATCATGATTTCTTTTGATTCCTTGTGATTTCCTCGATTTCTCGTAGATTCTAATGATTTCTTGCTTTCAAGAAATCACTGGAGCAATCATGATTTCGGGACCAGAGCGCGGCATCTGTCGATAATGACAGTTTTTTACATGACGTTACAATACGTAAGGATGTCAAAAACTTCATAGTGCCACATTTCGGGATTGGGTGATGTCGAATGCACCGATACTATAAAAATTGTAGACTTCAAACTGCAAAATCAATTTCAATTTTACACTTATGGATGATTTTTAATGATCTCGTAAATCACTTGATTTCTTTATGATTTCTATTAATTTCCGATGATTTCTAGAAATCTTTAGAAATCATCGTCGAAAATGGAAATCACTTGATTTCCTGTGATTTATTCTGAGTTCTTCCTTAATTTCCAGTCGACTGGTCCAGTGATTTCCTAAGTGATCAGTCCCTCGCCGTTACTAGTGCGTAAAGTTCCACTTTTTTACACACACGTGTAACACATCCTATTTTTTTGGTACCTGCCGAGTTCACTGTTTGGAACGGTAGTGAGGGTAATGTGTTATTTTTCTGCACGAGTGCGTAAAGTTCAAGAGCGTGCGGAAGTGAATTTGAAAGCAAAGCTTTACGCAAGAGCATTCACTTTACGCACGCTCGTGAAATTTACGCACGCCATAGGGAAGCAAATTCCGTAAAGTTTCACGGTACAACAGGCCGAAACCATAAAAACCTCTCAAGTGGCTGAATTTCTAATCAATTGAGCTAAAAATTGTTTTGTATATAATTGATATGTAATACAGTTTCTGATCAGTTACGCCCAGTAGACTCAACCAAAGATGAATAAAAATAAGAAGGGCCAATCAGACAAAATTGAAAGTTTTTACAACCTAAAGTAATTTGAAACTAAAATTTTGATTGTTAATTGTAAATAAAGCCGCCGCCGGTGGTCGAGTGGGCTAGACGCAAGTCTAGTGTGCGGAAGGTTGTGAGTTCACGATTCCTCGTGAAACCGGATTTTTCAACGGAAGGCTGCGGCGAGTGGGAGGTTGCTAATACAGTAACCGCCAGTACCGGCATGGGTTTCCTGTGGTTTCCTATGCTATTCCCATGTTCTATAGGAGTGTGAGTGCGGTACAGTGTAGAATCCACAGCCGCATGCATAGGGTTGGATAGAGTGCCGAAATGAAACTCGTAAAGAGAACTCAAAAAGGCCGTAAAAAAAATTGTAAATAAATATTTTTTCTCAGATTCTCAGGAACATAGTTTTTTTAACCCTAGATTGGTCACCATATTAGGGAAACCCCCCGCGCGCGTCGTTTTTCTTTAATTACAATTGACTGGCTAACCGGAAAAATTAAAAAACAATTGACTTTGTCAGTTGAAGTGTCTAAAGAATTAAATGTAATTTTTAGAATAATATATTTTCCGAAATTCCTAAAGAAAAGAAATTAATTCGAACAGATCTTTTATTCCTACGTTAAGGGTATAATGGCACGGTCCAAGCTGGAAAAAAGCAGAGAATTCAATGAAAATTGCTGAACAGATTATTCGATCCATTTGAAAGCCGTGTGCAAAATGTCAAGACCCCTACTTAAACAATAATAATGGAAATAATTTTTGAAGTGGGATATTTTTGATTTTTTTTATTGATCTATCGATAAAGTAGGAAATTCACAAAAATTACCGATGCCCCATTCAACTGCGTGTATAAGTAGCAACTTCAAAAATTATTTCCATTATTATTGTTTAAGTAGGGGTCTTGACATTTTGCACACGGCTTTCAAATGGATCGAATAATCTGTTCAGCAATTTTCATTGAATTCTCTGCTTTTTTTCCAGCTTGGACCCCGCCATAATACCCTTAAATGAAATTGCTCATCATGCGACGTTGCCGGCAACTCGGTAAAAGCACCCGGGCAGTGAAGTGTGAATTCGGCAACGCTAGAGCCTAAGAAACGGCGGGGAATCCCTGCGGAGGTGACCAGAGTCGCAGGGTCGCGTTTGGTGACCAGACTAGGGTTAATAAGTAGAAATTTCACGCATTACCAGGATTTTTTACTCACTCCCTGATGAATCACACCCAGAGTTAACTCGGGATTCATGGAAATTTCCCAGAGTTTCTCTCTTTTTTCGCTGGGTTTTTTCCATAAACCCAGAGTTGACTCAGAGTTAACTCTGGATTTGATTTATCAGAGCTAGATTTTGACTGGACACCAGAAACTTTTTGTCTCACTGAACAAATACCTAGAACTCTCCGCTTCATTCTCACCTCTTCCAATTCCAATTACTTCAATAATTTATCGAATACGGAAAATTACTCATTATTACTGAGAGAAAATTATCGACAACCATCGACACATATCGCCTCATCTTTTCACTTTAGAATTGAAATAATAACTCAACAGTTGCAAATAACAATTTGATTTAATTAACACTTTCTCTTCAGATCGCATCGAAGAAGAAAACATTTTACAGCAGCGTACGCAAGTCTCGAGTACTTCAATCGAGAGCGATGTGGAATCTTATGATTCATGACAAGAATCCAAACGTGAACTTCAAAAAGTCGTACTACATGTACCAAGCCAGCAAGGAGGGCGACGGATACCTTCTCAAGCCTTATGGCTTCGAGGCCGCCTGAAATTCACTTTGAGGAAATTGAGTGGAGAAGTGATGGAGAATAGGAGATCCGTTGAAAATTCATTTTCAGATAATTTCGCAACCATCTACGATGGAGTGAAGTTCAGAAGATTCGCTAAAAAATCATTTTTGCAGAGACTTCTGAGGACAAAAAAAATTGTAAAATAATCTCGGAGAGAATTTTGCTCGAGAATGAATTTAGAAAATATTTTGAAGGAATATCTGAAACTAGTGGGTTTATCAAGATATGTGGGAAGATCTGTTTCTGCAGTTCATGAAATTTAATATAAGGAAAGTTCTTCTGTTATTTCTCTCACAACTGACTAGTTTTAGAGATATTTACAAAATAATTAATTTTATTATTCAATTTCGTTAAGAAATTTGCAGAAACTTTTCTTATAGAAATATAAATTACCTACCAAAAAGATACTTTGCCATTTCCATTCCCCAAGTAATTACATTTTGAAAATCACACCTGGAATTTATAACAACGACTAATTCAGATCAAATTTCCGTATTTCTTTATATTGAAAACTCAGCTAATTCCTGGAATATTCATGAAATTGGAGTTCTCAAGTCCATATCATAATGATTATCATTGAAAATTATGAAAATGAGACAGTTATATTTTTAAACTGTCAATCTATTGAAAGTTCAATTGAATTAATGATCAATTTTTACAGTCAGTTCGAGAATTAAGTTGTCACTAGAATACCAATGATCGTCTGACATGAAAAAATAATTTTTATTGAATTTTCAAGATAAATAGGACATTCTATAACCGTTTTGATCTCAAATTCAATTCAACATCACAGCAATGAAGAATCAAATGCAGCTACTACTTAAGGTGTTTCATGCGAAAAAGGTAAATAATGACATTCATCTGGAATTCATATAGAATGTTTACAATGATAACTGAATTATCTATGAATTCTTTTCTATAATTTTTTCAGATTTCCTTTTCAAGTTATTAACGCTAATATCGCTTGCTAAATGGTAAAAGATCGTATTGACCATTTTGGAATTTTTAGGTCAACAAAGTGGCAAAAGATTGTATAAACCTAATCTAGGGAACATGAAATCTAAACGACTTGGGCTCTCTAGAATCATTTTAATCCAACTTTTGAGGAAAAATTTTTTTTGGCGCATACGACCTTTTTCCACAAATTTTTCTCCAATAAAAATTTCTCTAGAATAATGTTAATTTTTTTGAAAGAACAACCGAATATCATAAAAACAAAGAAAACAGTGAAAATATTTTTGTTCATTTTTCCACTATTGGAGAAATATTTTGTGGAAAAAGGTCGTATGCGCCAAAAAAAATTGTCCTCAAAAGTTGGGTCAAAATGATTCTACAGAGCCCAAATCGTCCAAATTTCATGTTTCCTAAATTAGGTTTATACGACCTTTTTCCATTTCGTTGACATAAAAATTCCAAAATGGTCTATAAGACCTTTTTCCATTTAGCACGCGATATAGTTTCGTAAAAAATCTCCATAAGAGCCCATGTATAAGAAGCGTCTTTAATTATTAATAACTCGAAAAGGAAATCTGAAAAAATTCTGGGACAATTCACAGATAATTCAATTGTGAATATAAATATTCTATAAGAATTCCAGACGAATGTCGTTATTTACCTTTTTCTGACGAAATACCTTAAAGACAAAAATGAAAAACGTCGTTTTCCTACTTTTAACATATCCCATCGCATAACAAAATTCATTTAATGAGTCCTTAGCTCTAATGAGGACTTTCAAATGTCACTGCTGTCTACCTTTGAACAATAAATATTCGTACGAAAAAATTTGTTGCAAAATTAACTTCCAAATTCTCTGAACGGGGCACGTCTATTAAAACATTTCAAAAGACCCTAAACAATTAAAATATGTCAAAATACCCATCTAATACTCCTCAAAATTCTCTCCAAAAATCTCGTTTACAATTCCCCCCTAAATCCACTCCCAAATTCCTCTAAAAAAAAAATTTCCAAAAAATCTTAAAATTCTACCACAAAACATAGAAATGGTACAGAAACACTGAAAATACCTAGAACCGCGAGAAAAACCTCAAGCACAAAATGAGTTTCTCCACAGTATGAAAAATAATGATTTCAATACACTCCTTCATTCTCTCCCCCCTTATGTGCACTTGGTCCACCCAAAGTTCCTGCCTCACAGACGATCAATCACCATAGTGACAATTGAAAGTTTTAGCTGTGCCCTAGCTTTTTTCGGCAGTCTGTGCATGAGCGGTTTGAGTTTCTTAAGGAACCCCCCCACTTCACTTCTAATCGGTATCAATGTTCTCCTGCTCCTCGCACTCATCCTCTTGACCCTCCTCTTCCTCCTCCTGCCACTCACTGCACACCCCTTAACATCACCATCAAAATTACCATTAAAACTATCATCAACATTGTCGTTAACAGTCTCTTGAACATCTACATGATCATCTTGATGTTCCTCGTTCATTAACGTGGCCTCCACTTCCTCACTGATCATCTCTATACACTCCTTCCTCTCTCCATATTCCAGCTCCTCTATGAACTCCTCCATCGAGTCCTCGATCTCCTCGATCTCCTCATCGAGAGCCTCGATATCCTCGTGCTCCTCCCTTATCGTCTCAATGACACACTCATCGTTCAGTATCTCGTGTTTATGAACATCGATTTTCTCCGAGAGCTTGAGCAGCTCAGCAAAGTCCTCATGATCATCCCGATCCCCTACGAAGTCGTGAATCTCTTCGTCGACAGCGGCTTTCTGAAACACCTGGATCAGGGATGCAAACAATATTACATTTCCGACTTACATTGATAAAGGTTTACATATACTCTTCAAAATTTAAAAATAGTATGATGTTAATAATCTAAATTTCCGATTGATGATGAAGTAAATATTTGATAATATTGAACTGTAAATTTTCCATTAAGGCCTGGGTGTACTATCTTTCGAACGTTATCTCGATGTTTTTTTTCATCTTTCCTCATCTGAAATTGTCAATTGAGTCCTCATCATGCAGAAGTGTTGAAAAATTATGAATGAATAATAAAAAAAAAGTAGAAAAAATTATTAATTTTTTCAAAGAGCATTTTTAATTTATATTCAGAATAAGTTGAATAACAAGAAATTGAAAAATATATCTGATTTACGGTAACAAAAGGCGGCCTGTCGCCCAATATCATGCAGGGGGAAGACTGATTTTGTAAATCTTCTCCCACACTGCACAGACACATTTATTACAGAAAAGGCTCTTTGAAAAAAGTTGTAATATTTTGGAGAATTTTTTCATCACACTTTTATCACATAAAATGGCAGATGACTACATACCACTGTGTTGAAAATTGAGGTACCTAGTTGTCGCTTCCCATGAGGAGTTAGTGTTTTGTTATCGACCATGGAAAATTCCAGCTAATAGATAATTTGCCAAAGCGAATCAGATATTTGTAATTTCCACTTTTTTCAACTCATTCTGAATCCCAATTAAAAATGCTCTGTTTTCTATTTTTTTTTATCATTCTATCATAAACATAATTGACAATTTTGGATTACGAAAGATAAAAAAAATCTAGATAACATTCGAAAGATAGTATACCCGGGCCTTAAGTCGAAAATCTAGAACAATTAGTTGGAAAGAAATTGGTTCAATTCAAGAAAATAGAATAAGCTGTGAATAATAATATACAATGGAAAAAAATAAACAAAATGATCAGTCGGAAGCATATTGCTAATTTATTAGCAAAAATAACTATACTATACGCAATACAGGAGCAATTTTCCACATGTTTTCTACTTTTTTTAATTGTGCAATCATAATTTTCAGGGAAACCTACGTGATGTAAAATCCAGTGGAAATTGTGATATATTTGAGATTAATATGATAATATTAATATTTAAGATTAATATTAGATATATTAAAGATTAAGATATGAAGATGGAAAACAATCGAGATAACGTTCGAAAGCTAATCCATCCGAGCCTTAAACTGATGATTACATAAATAAATAAAAATTTATGAGTGATGTTATCTAATTGATGGCTTCAAATTTAACCGTAATTATGATTTACGAATATGGCAATTCCTGACCTGGACATTCTCAGAGATTCGATTCCTGACTCGCCCCCTGTTCTTCCTCTCCTCCCTGCCCACCTGTTCATCAAATCCCCCCTCCTGCTTTTTCGCAGGCCTGCCCCTCCTCGCGACTTTCTTCTCCTGCTGAGGCAGATCGATCTTGATGAGAAGCCCCGGTGGAATACTCGACAGACTGGACACTGGAATCGGCTGTCCCAGACTGGAGATGTTCCCAGCGAAAGGCAGAATGACTTTTTTCGCATCAGTAGAGATATTAGTTATCGGTGTGATATTGTTGGCTATTGTGATCGGTTGAAACTGATTTGGAAACTGGAGCTTCCAGTTGTTGGAGGCCGGAGGCAGTGGAAGCTTCCTCAGAATTCTGTTGTCGTTTAATTGCGAGGGCTTGGGGATGTTGATGGAGGTCGGACGTTTCTGCTTTCCCCTCTTCTTCGCCAGGGGCGCAGGCTTGTTAATGACAAAAGGTTTCTTGCTGGAAACTAGAGGTCTCACTTCCTTATTTTTTCCCAGCTTCTGAGGTAAACTCGCTGGACACAGGTCCACATCATCGAACACTGGGGGCATGGGTTCCGTGATGATCACCTCAGGAAGATTTTTCCCCTGTTCCACCTCCTTGATCGTTGGAACAGCATCGCAAGGGCCGACTTTTTGAAACGATTGCCCCGCGAGAAAGTGTTTCGAGCACAGAACGAGCTTTCGAATCTGATTGGGTGACATTTTGAGGAGATCTTCTCTCCCTAAAAATTGACACCACCTCAAACATCTGCCAATTTCGTAGGCAGGGAAGGGATGGAACTTGTACTTTTCTACTTTATTTCGAGGGTCAGCCCTGGATCGACCGCAGGCGGCGCACGCCTGGCTCTCGAGGACGGCTGGGGGCAGGGGGTCAAGCTTCTTCGGTTTGTCAGGTTGATGAAAGAATTTTCGATCCAACTCAATTTCCAGGGCGTACTTCTCGTCGTCGCTGAGTTCGTCTGGATTTCTGATGTTTGGGATTGCATTGTCGATTAGTCTGTTGCGGTAGCCAGGCATGAACTGAGACCTGTCGAAGTGACAGGAGCAGATGTAGCAGTAGAGAATTTCCTTTCTCGTGAGACGATAGTAGGAATCGACACCGACGAAGTCCAACCACTTGAGACATCTGAACTCCTCACCTGGGAAGTGGTGGAATGTCGTGCCATCGTAGTCGGGCTCTGGGGGATCCTTGCGGTATCTTCCGCAGAGGACGCATGTGATGTTGTAGAGACTTTGTTTGGGGTCGTAGATTGTGGGGACTGCTCTGCAATTCAACCTGTCGAAGTAATCGTTCAGGAAGTCCTTTCTCTCGAAGTGCTTGGAGCACACCATACGCTGGAGCAGTTGCTTCTTCGTGAGCTTGTAGAGGTCCTCACGACAGCAAAACTCTAGCCACTCTCGGCAACGTGTGTCGTAGTTTACTGGGAAACCGAAGAACATGTACTCCTCCTCGCGGTTGTTTGGATTCATACGGGAACGACCACATACTACACAGGGATGTGGCATTTTGCTGGCGATTTATCATAATAGTGAGGGCTAAGGGTTAAGTCTTCATCGGATCTGGAAGGGAAATTATAGACACAGTTAAACGATGGAAACGAAGACATACGATTTTAGAAGACACTGAAAACAAAAATTTTTTTTGCTAAATATTCATTTATTTGAGAAGAGCATTTAGTTTTTCAAAATCGTATTTCTCTGATCGAGTTAGTCCCAGGCGAGCCTGATTGGGTTTCAATTATGACAATCCAAATTTAAATATAGTTTGTTTCCTTTTTTAAATTCACGAGCAGGATATGGCTTCAAATTTCGAGCATTACCAGCTCTTAGAGTTACCCAGGATCCATGACGAGAACGTTGCTGGTATAGGATCAGAAAAAATGAATAAAAATTTTTAAATTTAAAGAATCTGGAATTTATTTAATGAAACAAGAAGAGTTGTTGGTTCAGGTATAGCCCAGTCAACGGGACAGAAAAAATGAGATATCTATTAAGTCGTGCAAATTTAGTATTGTCTCATCTCAGTGATTAAATAATACGTCTTTTTTCCTTTTTCCTTTATCGCTGAATTTCTTTAAATTTCCGGAAAAAGATCCGCAACAATTTTCCAAATTCTTATAACTTTGGGACAGGGTTGCTAATTATGAATTTAAAACTCTTTGGTACACCTCATATCTAGATGTTCGGGACCACCCATTTTCCCCACGTTCCTTCTAAAGGCAATTAATTTTGAACTAATTTAAATATACAGTTTTTTTTTCATTTTTTTTAATTTACGAGCATGACATGGCCTCTTAGTTGCTCCAGAGGATGACTATGTTGCACATGATCTTGGATGAATTCCTCCAATAATTATTCAGTGTTGAATTTCGATTAATTTTTTAAAGTTTATAATTATTGAGGGAGTTCACTCAAGGTAATAACTAAATATTAGTTATTATCTCCTATAGAGCAATATAATTGTCATAATTGAAACCTAATGAGGACTGCCTCGGAATGACTCGACTAGAGAAATATGGGTTTGAAAAAATAAATACTTCTCTCAAGTAAATGGATATTTGGCAAAAACAATTTTTTTTCTCAGTTCTTACTGAGAATCACGTACACTGATAGAAAAGATGGGAGGATTTAGTTGTGGTTAATGAGGCTTCCGAACTATTAGTGTCATTCGCTAACTATTAACGAATAGCGTTCAGTTAAAAAGCCTCGTTCACAGTAACTAAATCGTTCTATCGGTGTAGAAAAAAATTTCGTAGAAAAATTCACCGAATTCGACGGAAAATTAAGATTCTATTAGTTTTTGGCCGATTTTTTTCAGAAATTTTGTACTTTATTTGCGCGTTTTTTTAAAATAGATATGTTTAATGGAGAATACTTTATAGAAGCAATCCGTCGAATGCATTGTTACTACATAATTTATTTCATTGAGGTTTTTGCAATATAAATTTCTCGGCTCGAATTTTCGAAGTTTTTGGTTTGATTTTTTTCTAATGAAAAGAGAAGAGAAATAGAGTTCAAAACCATGTCGAGAAATTCCGATGGAAAATTTGTCTGTTGAAAAGTGTGAAAAGATGAAATTCTACTTATTCTTTCTAGAAAAATGTTTTTATGTCACACCGTGCAGAAGCCAAGTTTGAATTACGCTGCGCGAAGCGATAAACTTGACTTATTCCACGGCGTGAGAAAATAACAACAACAAATAACAATAAAAAACAACATAAAATAACAGTGCAATTCTATCGACTGAAATTGGGATGGAAAAAATTTTCGATATAATTCAGTAGCGAAGTGGTAAAATGGTACAAGTCAATTTTGACTATTGACCAGTTTTCAATGAATATCTCGGAATCTAAGAGAAATAGCTAAGTTTTTGTTATAACCTTTTTTATAAAGCCGACTGAGAGCTACAAGAAATGTGAATACGAAAATTTCGCTATCTCCCTTAGATTCGGAAATATTCGTCAAAAACTCAACTGGGAGATAAGTCGACTTGAACCGTTTTACCACTTCGCTACTGAAATCTCTTCTAATTGGTCCACGGGAGGACGAATACCGTAATTCTATTGTTTGAAAGGATGATGGGAGAAAAAAATCCACACAATTTCACTACCCCCTTCCATTCTCGATATTCTGAGAAAACTGGACTGAAGAAGGTGATGTGTGATTATTTTTGCATATTTTTTCAAGTAAATGAGGGCTTTGAATTTATTGTCGATATTCTGGAGGTAAAGTGGGAGAGAAGATTAATTATGAAGTTGAAACTAGCGAAAGAAGTTTCCGCCAGCGGAAGTTGCGATTTAAACACATCCAGAGGTGTGCGAATATTTTTTAATCATGTACAAAATTTTTCGCACTTAAAAATCATTTGTACATGTGATTGTTTGAATCTCACACCGTTAAAAATCCCCTGAATTGAATCTCCCGCACGTGAATATTCCGCTACTTTCAGATTCATAGATTAATTATAAAATTCTCAATCAATGTACACTGATGAATACATTTTTATTTGGATTTTCGTGACGCGTTTTTGTTCTTTTTTTTTCAAATTAAATCCCAAAAAAATATTCTCAAAGCAAGTAAAATTTTCATATTTTTGACAGATGTTAGCTCAACTATCAAGTTTTTTTTATGAATATCTTCTGTACTATCAAATTGATGTTTTCGTACAGAATATTTCCTTGGAGCCGAATGAGAGCTACAAAAAAATTCTCGGCTATAATACCGCGAGATCTTCAAAATGATCCGGTATTTCCCGATAACTTCGTTGCATATAAACGAATATGTCAAGAATCAGGTTAAAAAATTTTTTAACCTGATTTCTCCTGCGAAACTTGACTCATTCGTTTGTATGCAGGGAAGTTTGAGGGAAATACTCCGATTCATTTTGAAGCACGAGTGGTATTTGACAGATTATTTTTCCACTCGGATTTTGGCCAAGCAGAGTGCAGCGAACAGCATCCGGATACATTTACACAGCCATACATTTACAACCCACTTTTTTGTTTATCTGTCACACAGTATATTAAATGTGAAATGCGTTGGAAGATGAGAAACATTTGAAAAGCTACTAGTGAATTTCTGTCCGAAATTTTTGAGAAATTTCCGAAATAAAACTGTTTGACAGCCTCAAATACTGCGCTCTGATTGGCCGAAATCCGAGTGAGAAAAATAATCTCAAAAAATTTTCAATTATTTACAACTCCTTTTGATTTTTCTTTCTTTTCTTTTTATTGTCAGAGCAAGTCAATTTTTCACGTCTTCGACATATCCTAGCTCAACTTAAATGTTAAGTTTTTTTATGAATATCTCCAATCCTAACACACTATCATGTTTTCGTACAGAATATTTTTATAGCGCTGAATGAGAGCTACAAAAAAGTTCTCCCCAAAATTTCACTACCCCCTTTGATTCTCGAAATTCGAAGAAAACTGATGATTTTCGCCTATTTATTCAAGTAAACGAGGGACGTTGAATTTAGCATTGACATTCTGGAGGTGAAGTGGGAAAGAAGATTATTATAGAAAATTTTCAATCAACGTGCACTAATGAATACATTTTTATCGGGATTTTCGTTATGCGTTTTTGTTGTATTTTTTCAAATTAAATCCTGAAAAATATATTGTCAAAACATTTTTTATTGTTTACAACCCCTTTTGGATCTCGAAATATTTTCAGAGCAAGTCAATTTTTCACGTCTTCGACATAGCCTAGCTCAACTTAAATGTTAAGTTTTTTTTATAAATATCTCCAATACTAACACACTGTCATATTTTCGTAAAGAATATTTTTACAGATCCCAATGAGAATCTCAAAAATGTTATCCCCAAAATTCTACCACTCCCCTCAGATTCTCGATATTCTGAAATTATTTTTATATAGGGGAAGGTGGGGTAAAATGGACTCTTTTGACTTTTTTAAAAATATTCATAACTCAGAGTCACATTCATCAGTTGAGCTCAGTCTAAGCTAATCACAAAGGGAAATCATTGTCCTTTCAATTGAAAAACAAAATTATTGCATTTCATGAACAATTCAACACGTTATGAACATTTTTAAAAAAGTTAAAAGTGTCTATTTTACCCCACCCTCCCCTATTAAAAGTAAAAGAGAGATTTTAAATTTATTGTTGATATTTTGGAGTTGCAGTGGGAAAGAAGAATAATTATGGAATTTTATAGAAAGGAGAAGAAGATTATTTATGGAATTTTATGAGATGGGATTTTTGTTGCACTGTTTAAAATCAAATCCCAAGAAATATATTCTCAAAACATTTTTAATTGTTTGCAACTCCTTTTGGATCTCGAAACATTTTCAAAGCAAGTGAAATTTTCACATCTTTGACGTAGGGGAGGTTGGGGTAAAACGGACACTTGACTTTTTTTAAAATGTTAATGAGGGGTTGAAATGTTGATGAAATTGAATAATTTTTTTTCAATACAAAGAAAAATTCTTCCCCTTTGTGACGAGCCCAAACTGAGCTCAATTGATAAATTTGTTTCTGAGTTATAAATTATTTAAAAAAATTTTAAAGTGTCCATCTTACCCCACTCTCCCTTACACTAACTCAACCTGAATGTCCATTTTTTATGGGCATCATCAGATCTAAAAAACTGACATACTTTCATTAAACAAAACATTTTCATAAAGTCAAATAAATCCTGTAAAAAACTTTTCCCCAGAATTCTACTACTTCGTTTGATTTCTCCATACTCCCCAAAAATCACACCGAATCAATGCAACTCATGTCAATCCATTACTCAATAATGACAGAAAAGTTGGTCAATTGTTCTAGGCAATTGTTTTCACTCACTTGTTGGTGAAATAACATCCTCAATAAGGAGTGAATCTCTCCGCAATTAGTCCGCTACATTCTCTGAGGAAAAATCTCAAAGAATATTTCTCAATTTCAGAACGAAAATTCTGTCACTGTTATAATTAATTATCACGTGTATTAAAAAATGGGGCAGAATCCTTGTTTTTATTGGCGTTATTATTGTGATGTCTATCATCAACACCCACAAGGTTAGGTCCAGTCGCTGATAGAAACATAAAAAAATAGAGAGAAATCACGGGTAAAACAGAGCCCTCTGCTGATGAATTTACCACGAGAGCTAGAGATTTTCTGCTTTACCGGTATTTTCGGGCGTAGACGCCCCATTTTCTCCACCGGATTAATTCCCCTCTCTCGCGGCCGCTTGCAAACGGAAATAATGACGTAGTGAATGGAGAGACATAGTAAAACTCAGGCAGGGGTTTTGAGTGAAGTGAACACTAGATATTTATATCAAAATCACCGACGAATGGGAGTTTAATTGAGCTGTGAGTGCGCAAGGTGATTGATTTTTTGGGGATTTCAATCCACTGGACATCCGGAGACATTCGTTGGGTATTTTATGACCAGGTAAAAATTTATTTATATTTTTTTAAACAATCACGAGTGAGCCATTGTGCCTACCGTTGGAGAATTTCCCAGGCGTTTTGCCTGGCTGAGTCCAAGGAATTTTACGTTGAATTTTCATTTTCGATGATTTTTTGGGGTCTCATGAGGCTTGAGGGGAATTTAGAATTTTGATAAGGAACTGGGAGCTCAGAAATTCCATCTGCATGATATGGGGAACACCGCGTCACCCAATGAGTCACCTTAACCTGAAAGACATCTTTCATACTCAGGTAGTGTGGGTGCGCGAGGGGAGACGGAAGTGTCAAAAGTTAGACACGAGATTTTATTTCGGAGCAATGGAGTGATTGATCTGTGATCATTTTTGAATATTTATTGGAGTAAAGAGGAATTTTTTAATCATTGTTGATATTTTGGGCAGGTGAATGAGGGAGATAATTAATTACAGAATTTTCAATCAACTTGCATTGATTAAGATTTTTTTAATTCAATGTTTAAGAATGGAAAACTGATTTTAGTCAATTGTATAGAATGGGGATGAAGCTGAAACTAGCGAAAGATTCGACTGCAGAAGATTTGTCTTAGGCGAATCAAGGGGTGTACAAATGTTTGTAAGTAATGTACAAACTCTTTCGCACTTAAAAAACATTTGTACATATGATTATTTGACTCTCCTATACTTAAATATCCCCTAAATTGACTTTTCCGCTGACGAATATTCTGCTAGTTTCAGCTTCATAGAATGGGGTGATGAGTAAAATGAATGATTAAGTTTCTTGACATTTGAAAATCTGTCTAAAATTGTACAATTGTACTCAGCTGTCTCGAAAATGCTCCATAATAATGTGCAAAATTGATATCAATTCCATACCATCCCCTTTTGCATTTTATTTTGAATACTTTGATTATTCAATTTTCTTTTAGTGCGATCTATGTTTGTACGAGATTTTTGCTCCAAGTCGGTTACAAATTATTTTGCTGATATATGTGATAATTAGTCGATAAGAAAATTATGGAAAAGTTTTTGTCATTTATACAACTAGATTTTGTCCTCATGGCACTACTTTTCAAGATATTCGAAAAATCATAAATATTGGTTCAAAAGTTTTTTACATGAAGACGACTTTGCAATGGAGTAATTGATTTGGGATAATTTTTGAATGTTTATTTAAGTAAAAGGGGAATTTTTAATTCATTGTTGATATTTTGGGCAGATGAAATGAGGGAGATAATTAATTACAGAATTTTTAATCAACTTGTATTGATTATGATTTTTTTATTCAATTTTTAAGGAAAAAATAAAAAAAAATTGTTTTTTTAAATTTTATTTTGAATACTTTGATTATTCAATTTTCTTTTAGTGTGATCTATGTTTGCACGAGATTTTTGCTCCAAGACAGTTACAAATTATTTTGCTGATATATTTGAAAATTAGTCGATAAGAATATTATAGAATAGTTTTTGTCATTTATAGAACTAGATTTTTGTCCTCATGACACTACTTTTCAAGATATTCGAAAAATCATAAATATTGGTTCAAAAGTTTTTTACATGAAGGAGACTTTGCAATGGAGTAATTGAATTGTGATTATTTTTCAATATTTATTCGACTAAAAGGGGGATCTCCAATTCATTGTTGATATTTTGAGCAGGTGAAATGAAGGAGATAATTACAGAATTTTCAATTTTCAATCAATTGATCAAGATTTTTTTATTCAATTTTTAAGGACGGAAACCAGATTTTAGTCAATTGTATAAAATGGGGTGATGGGGAAAACGAATGATTGTTCTAATATCATTTGAACAAATATACAAAATATCGATTTGAACTAAACCAAAATTGGATTGTATGAAATCGATTTTGTTATAGTATAGTATATTTTGTTTATTCTATCGAATTTAGAAAATACTTGTTTTTGCGACAAAATCGATTTCATACAATTCAATTTTGGTTTAGTTCAAACGCTTCGGATTTGGCGCAAATAATTTTTTTTTTACAATTGCAATGCAAAAATAATCAGTTCAAATGATGAAGAATTGCATTTGTCGTAAACAAGAAAATGCGCACCGCGAAAGTCTCGCATCAATGAGTATCCAACAACATGTTCCTCATAGACCAAATGAATATTTTATTGCATCTATGAATTGTGCTTTCAATCGAACAAATATCCTTTTGCGGGATATCGTGACGCTAATAAATTGGATAATTATATGCTTTATTCGAAGAAGATATCTGATAATACAGACATTGATTTGTATGTACTGAAAAGTAGATAGCAACAAAAAAAAGTTTAGACAACCGATCTCATTCTTTTTCAATCGAAAACATTAAAATTAAATCGATATTTGTGTCTTACAATAGCATTTTCTTTTGCGACTATTCAATCGATGAATGATTTGGATCAATCATAGAATTTCTATTTCTTAGAAATTTTTTTTCTCAGTGTAGTCTCCCCTTAAGCCCTCAGGAATCTACTCCGCTAGTTTCAGCTTCATAATCAAACGATACAAACAACAAACAATGGAATATAATCTACTAATTGATTATTCGGCCATAATACGGTCATCCATATATATATATATATATATATATATATATATATATATATATATATATACATATATATACACTCTTACAATACAATACATTACAAACGAACAAACTAACCAACCAATTTATTCCTCCCCCAGATAATTGACTCCTGAAAAATGTCAGACTTCGGCCCAATAACCCTGAAATGGGACCCAAAGAACCTGGAGATCCGTACGATGTCAGTAGAGAAAACCCTGGAGCCCCTAGTCCTTCAAGTAACGACCCTGGTCAACACTAAAGGCCCAAGCAAGAAGAAGAAAGGCAAATCCAAACGAGCGAGTGCCCTAGTGGGCACCGTGGAGAAGGCCACTACAAATTTCATAGAGAAGGGTGAGCAAATTGCCTACGAGAATCCAGACATAACAGCTGAGATGCTGTGTGCAGTTGAAGAAGTCAAGAAGACGGGTGCAGCTATGAGCATCGCAGCACGAGAGTTCTCAGAGGATCCCTGCTCCTCCCTGAAACGTGGTAACATGGTGAGAGCAGCGAGAAATCTCTTGTCAGCAGTCACTCGTCTGCTGATTCTCGCAGACATGGTGGACGTTCACCTGCTGTTGAAGTCTCTCCACATCGTCGAGGATGACCTTAAGAAGCTGAAGAATGCATCCTCTCAAGGGGAACTCCTGGAGAACATCAAACAGTTCGGAAGGAATGCTTCAGAGCTGATGAATCAGGCCGCGAAGCGTCAGCAGGAGCTGAAGGATCCTCAACTGCGTGATGACCTAGCAGCTGCTCGTGCTGTTCTCAAGAAACACTCGACGATGCTGCTGACAGCTTCCAAAGTCTACGTTCGTCATCCAGAGTTGGCAGCGGCCAAAGCCAATCGTGATTACGTTCTCAAGCAGGTTTGCGAGGCTGTCAACACAATCAATGATGTTGCCCAGGGCAAAGTGCCAGCTGATGGACAACATCCTTACGATGGACCTGGGGAACTTGCTGCTGCTCTCGATGACTTCGATGAGCGCATGGTCATGTCACCACTGGCTTACAACGAGGTTCGCACTAGACCCAGTCTTGAGGAGCGTCTTGAGAGCATCATCAGTGGAGCTGCACTCATGGCTGATTCGTCCTGCACACGAGATGAACGACGTGAGCGCATCGTTGCTGAGTGCAATGCTGTCAGGCAGGCCCTCCAGGATCTTCTCAGCGAATATATGAATAACGTGAGTTTCGTTTTATTTTTAGTTATTTCTTTCGGTGGTTCGTCCAGAGAAATGACGCGTTTGAATCAAATGAGGCTCTTTTTCGAGATTTTTCTGTTCATGTCAGCAATATTTTTTACGCGGAATTAGATTTAACACCCGGATGGATTGTCTTTCGAACGTTATCTCGATTGTTTGGCCATTTTCATAATCTAAAATATATCACCATTTTCAATGGATTTTACATCACGTAGGTATTCCTGAAAATTATCGTTGCATAATCAAAAAAAGTAGAAACAAAAATGAACATTTTCAAAGAGCATTTTTAATAATGATTAGGAAATAACTCCGACAGAGGAAATTGTAAATGGATAATTTATCATGGCAATTAATGATCTGACAGACGCTGGCGACTGAAACAAATGACGAGTGAACAGCCATTAGATACTGTAAATTATTAAGTCAGTAGCAAAGCGGTAAACCGGGTTAAGGTCCGGGTGTACTTCCGAAGATTATCTTTCGAAGATTATTTGGATTATTTTTATCTTTCGTAATCCAAAATTGTCAATTGAGTGGTACATCATGTAGAAATTCCCAAAAATTATGATAGAATGTTAAAAAAAATAGAAAAAATTCTGAACTTTTTCAAAGAGAGTTTTTAGTTGAGATTCAGAATGAGTTGAAAAAAGTAAAAATTACAAATATCTGATTCGATGTGGCAACCTATCTATTGGTTGTCATTTTCCATGGTGGATAACAAAACAATAACTCCTCATGGGAAGTGACAGCTAGGTATCTCAATTTTCAAAACAGTGGTATGTAGTCATCTGCCATTTTTATGTGATAAAAGTGTGATCAAAAAATTCTCCAAAATATTACAACTTTTTTCAAAGAGCCTTTTCCGTAATAAATATCTCTGTACAGTATGGGAAAAAATTTACGAAATCAGTCTTCCCCCTGCATGGTATTGGGTGACAGGCCGCCATTTGTTACCGTAAATCAGATACATTTTTCCATTTCTTGTTATTCAACTTATTCTGAATATAAATTGAAAATGCTCTTTGAAAAAATTAAGAATTTTTTCTACTTTTTTTTATTATTCATTCATAATTTTTCGAAACTTCTGCATAATGCACGACTTAATTGACAATTTTAGATGACGAAAGATGAAAAAAAAAACATCGAGATAATGTTCGAAAGATAGTACACCCGGGCCTTAAGTCGATTTTGACTTTTTGTCAGTTTTTGATGAATGTCTCGGAATCTAAGAGAAATAGCGAAATTTTTCTCATGAGCTTTTTTATAACCCTCAATTGGCTCTACAAAAAAAGGTCATGACCAAAATTTTCCTATCTCTTTTAGATTCCGAGATATTCGTTAAAAAGTGGCCAATAGTCAAAATTGACTTGACCGGTTTTCCGCTTCGCTACTGAATTTGCAATTTCCGCCCTATTGGGTTTATTCCCCAATATTATTCAAAAAAGCTCTTTGAAGATCTTTGTTTTTTTGATTGTATAATCATAATTTTTGAAGATTTCAGGGCAATGTGAAACTGAATGATAATTGAAGAACATGTCAGATTATCACTATAAAAGACAACAATCAAGTTCGCGTTCGAAAGATAATACACGCGGGCTTTAATGAAATAAATAGCTCATTCCAAATGAAGAATAATTACATGTTGATAAATTCTTTTTCTTGGTCGGAAAATATTTGTTTATATTTGAAAATCGATTTGTTTGATATGAATAAAAACGCAAATCAATAAATCTGGAATTCGAGTTTGAATAAAAGCTTTATTAGGAGCTATTTAAAAAAACCCATATATTTGATTAAAATAAATTATTTCTCGGAGTGCAAGAAGATGAGATAAAAAATTTTGAATGATTCACTTTGCGAAGATCTTTAAAAAAGTCTCTTAAGAAATTCATGTGACCTCTTCTCTCTGGAGATATTTGCAAAATAATCTACAAGTATTTTCCAAAATTATAATCTTTACATGTACTATTGATTTAATCTCCTATTTTAATTTATTTCTCAAGGACTTTGGTTTAATTTTTCACTGTTTTATTCTTTTCTTTCTATGGGGAATTACAGTTACAGCTAGCCCGTGCTAGGAAACGGGTAAATATCATTGTGGAAAGAATCAAATGCAATTGCTGGTATTTCATTACACTAAAATTAATTAATGCTAAGTTGAACTATTTTGAGAGAGTGCTTTAATATAGGCGTACTGTCACGAGAGTTGCACCCTTAATTACTCCACCGTAAATCCTAGAATTCAGAATAACTAAAAACTTTGTCATCTCCACATTACGGAGGAGAGTGATTATTTTTGTTGCTTATCATTATTATCTAACACAGTTATATGCACACTATCGCTCATCGTTGATGACTGAACCATTACAAACGATAAATTTTCTACATGTACGATGTAGATGTATTTGTGCGCTTTTTAAACTAATCAAAGGAGCTCCAAGTGGGAATTTTTATCGTAAGGTCTTGCTGAAAAATCTGAAGTCATTCGAAAGTAGTCAGATACACTTGATATTCATTTCGTATTACATTGAGAGAAAAAGAAACGTGTTCGCAAACAAATCTTGTTTAAATCAAAAAATCGTAAGATGAAAATTATTGAGAACAAAAATCACGTACTTAACATTTAGAAAGGAAGTGCATTGAGGTCTTCAATAAGGATCCATTCGGAAGCTTACTACCACTGGAATTGGTAGAAATAAATCAAGTGAGATAAAATAATTCTTCATTTACTTCACTTGATGAGAGATATTTTTATCTTAAAAGAGCACCATTTCTTACTAAAACAAAGCGATTATCCGTGTTTGAAACTTTCGTATATTCAAATAAAACAGTTTCTATCTTGGTAATTTTCAACTTGCGATTCTGTTCGTTCAAACAAGACTTGTTTTATTATTTTTTTTCCCAATGCAGAGTTAAACAATGAGCGACCTCATTAGTCCGTAAAATCGATTCTCAGTAGAATGGCGATATTGCGACCATCTAAATACAGGTCACATTGAGATTTCAGAGGCAGAATGGAAACACAAATTGTTTCAATTTCACACTGGGGCATGTTTTTTGGAACTCAGGGGCGATGCGCCCAGAAAGATTCAGAAGAAATGACGGAATTTGATGGAATAGATTTCTGTTTGAAATGTTTCTATTCATTTGAATAATATTGTTGTTGGAAATTAATAAACTTATGCATTTATTCCAAGGATAATGTTTCAATCATATGAATAGTATATTTATTCAAAATAAATCCTCTATTAGAATCAGATAAACAATAAAGGATTTTTACTTGTTAATAAATTTGTTCACTTCACCGTTTAGAAGACCATTTCAATCTTAAAGTCTTTATTTGGATCGTAGAAATATTTGTTTATGTTTGAAAATCTATTTATTCGATGCAAAAACTGCGAGAATTATTGTTGAAATGAACAGAAAAATTTGAAATGAAGAGTTTTATTCCATTCAGCCTCATTTGTCTGAATGTAGCATGAAAAACGTTCATAAATAATCCCTCTGCTCAAATTATGATACTGTCAATGTCTTGTTATTGCCACTAGTCCATTTTCGGTCACCCTCAAGGGCCACAAATGATTTTCAGACAATATCAATTGGAAATCTACTGAAATAGTAGAGAACAATAGTTCTAATGCAAAGAGAATTCAGTACTCTCTATTTGAAATATTTTCAATTTGATTATGAAGAGTCCAGGATCTGTTGAAAAGTGGCAATCACTGGAATACTTCGATTTACCCATGTGCCAATTTCTGCCACTCGTATTAAGACGAAACCTAATCAGGCAGTATCTTTGACTCAATTTTTACAGAATTGTGCACCGAGAAAGAAACTACAGAGTTCTCAAACATTTTTTTAAACATGCGAGGAGTGCGCCGTGGTGGAAAATTTTTATCGAAAAAAAAGATTGAGTAGTCCCAAAAAATTATATTCTTAGTGCAACCAAAACTAATTTCTAGCACCACTTCTTCATTATTCGATACTCACCACAAAACAACATTCTAATACAAGTCGACGTCAGCTTGATTCAAGTCGAGTAACTCGGATTCCGTCAATCCGAACTTTGGACCTGATATTAGCCAAAAAGTGGATTATTTCAAGAAGAAACGTGTCAAGCCGAAATCGACTTGAATCAAGTCGGTTTTCAGTTTGATTCAAGTCGATTTTTCCGATTGATTCAAGTCAATTTTTCGATTTTATTCAAGTCGATTTTTCGGTTTGATTCAAGTTGATTTTTCGACTTGAGTCAAATCGATTTTTTGGCTTGATTCGATTCGTTTTCTGGTTTGATTGGAGTCAATTTTTTGGCTTGATTCAAGGTGATTCTTGGGAGTTATACATGAGGCGGTCGAAAAATCGACATGAATCAATTTGAAGAATCAACTTGAATCAAGTTGAAATTTGACTTGAATCAATGCGATATTAGACTTGAATCAAGCTGAACAATCGATTCGAATCAATCCGAAATTCTACTTGAATTAAGCCGAAATTCAACTTGAACCAAACTGAAATTCGACTTCAATCAAGCCAAAAGTCGACTGAAATTAAGCCGAAAAATCGACCTGAATTAAATCGAAGTCGACCTGATACAAGTCGAAAAATCGAAACATGAATATTCAGAAACGAAATGAATTTTCAATTTTTCCTTGAATTTTCCTGATTTTTCTGAATTTTCACAGAATAATTGAACTGAAAAATCAAATATTTATCGATTTCTATTGTTTTGATTTGATCATTTGAACAGAAAATCAATGAAATATCTGATTTTTCAATAACAAGAATTTCTGAAATTTCAGTGGACTTTGAACGCAATAAAAATTTCCGCAATTTGGCACGGAAAATTCAGACGAAAATTGTCAACTGGCGATTTTATTGGCCCAAACAAGGCTTGTTTGAGAACTTGTTTCTTTTTCTCTCAGTGTAGACCCTTAGAAAAAGCGCGGTTGGATTTAAGCGTCAATAACTGGTACATTGACGGTAAATTACAATTCCCAAAGAAATCACCTCACCCACTTGGATCTCCTCGCTCTCAAATCGTCACTCCCTAATCCCCCTCAACTCTCTTCAGATGGGCGTGAAGGAGCAGTCGGAGGGTCTCGAGCGTGCCATCGACCACATGTGCAAGAAGACTAGCGACCTTCGGCGTCAGCTGCGCAAGGCCGTGGTGGACCACGTCTCCGACAGTTTCCTGGAGACCTCAGTCCCCCTCCTGATCCTCATAAAGGCCGCCGAGAAGGGCAACGACGAAGAGGTCGAAGAGTACGCCCTAGTCTTCACCGAGCACGCTAATAAGCTCGTCGAGGTAGCAAATCTGGTCTGCAGCATGTCAGCTAACGAGGACGGCGTGAAGATGGTGCGTTACGCTGCAGCGCAGATCGAGAACCTGTGCCCCCAGGTGATCAATGCAGCTCGAGTTCTCGCTGTGCGTCCTCGCTCGCAACTTGCCATGGAGAACATGCAGGTGTTCCGTCAAGCCTGGGAGAATCAGGTTCGCGTTCTGACGGAAGCAGTGGACGACATCACGACTATCGACGACTTTCTGGGTGTCTCTGAGAATCACATTCTCGAAGATGTCAACAAATGCGTAATGGCCCTTCAGGAAGGGGACGCCGACACCCTCGACCGGACAGCTGGTGCTATTCGTGGACGTTCCTCCAGAGTCTGCAATGTTGTGCAAGCGGAAATGGATAACTACGAGCCCTGCATTTACACCAAGCGAGTACTCGAGGCTGTTAAAGTCCTTCGTGATCAAGTTATGCCGAAGTTTGCGCAGAGGGTGAAAGTAGCTGTGGACGCACTCAGCAGTAATCCAGCTAAAGACGTCAATGAGAATGACTTCATCGATGCTTCTAGACTGGTTTACGACGGTGTCAGAGAGATTCGTCGTGCTGTTCTCATGAATCGAGCTGATGAGGACCTCGACCCTGAGGATGTTGAGCTTGATGAGCAGTATACTCTTGAAACGAGGAGCAAGTCCAGTGCACAGACTGGGGAGCATGGAGTCGATGAGTATCCGGAGATCAGTGGTATCACGACAGCACGTGAGGCCATGAGGAAGATGACGGAGGAGGACAAGCAGAAGATTCTACAGCAGGTGGAGAACTTCAGGAATGAGAAACTCAAGTTCGATAGGGAAGTCGCCAAGTGGGACGACGCTGGTAATGATATCATTGTGCTGGCGAAGCACATGTGCATGATCATGATGGAGATGACGGATTTCACGAGAGGACGTGGACCTCTCAAGACTACTATGGACGTCATCACTGCGGCGAAGAAAATTTCTGAGGCTGGTACCAAGCTGGATAAGCTGACGAGACAGATTGCTGATCAGTGCCCGGAGAGCTCGACTAAGAAGGACTTGATTGCTTATCTTCAGAGGATTGCGCTGTACTGCCATCAGATGAATATTACGAGCAAGGTGAAGGCTGATGTCCAGAACATCAGTGGGGAGTTGATTGTTTCCGGGTTGGATTCTGCTACCTCGTTGATTCAAGCTGCTAAGAATCTTATGAATGCTGTTGTACTTACTGTCAAGGCTTCTTATGTCGCTTCTACGAAGTATCCGAGGCAGTCTACTGTTACTGTGAGTATTCATCGGATTTGGGAATTGTTGACAGGGGTGCGTAGGGAGTTTGGGGGGAGTGGTGGAGGGAAATGTGTCAAATATGGGAAATTAAAAGTCAATGGATTTTTTCACAATGAAGATGAAAGTTTTTGGTATTTGTTAAGGAATTTAATAACAAGCAGATGATAAAGTAAAATATCTTATAAACTATTCATTCAGCACATCTTCGATGTGAAACATTGTAATGCTAACTGGAAATTTCATGCCAACTTTTAAGTTAAGGATATTCAAGTATCTTTTACAGTTTGGTACTGACGACACTATAGATTCAATCATTTTCAATCATCAAATTTGTCAATTAAATTGCGTGAGAAAAATTTGAAAAAAATTATGAATATTCAGTGTCATTCAAATTACATTTCACACGGAATTATTATTTTTTAAAATATTTGTTGTTTGTTTTTTGTTGTTCACAAATAAATAATTGAAATTATTTAAATTTTCGGAAACCTTTTTTTTTAGGTATGAAATCAATTTCTGGTAAAATTCTGTAAAAATTCCACTTCACTCTTGATGATTTTTAAAAATATCCTGTAATCGGAGGAAATATAAAAATAAATAATGAAGAATATGAGAAAAATCCTACCGAAATACTTTAATTTGCCTTAGATTAACTTATATATGAAAGAGTTTGCTTCGGAATCAGCGCTGTTTTGTGAAAATACCTTGTAACCTGGATGAAATTTCGAAATTGTTCTGGAGCACTCATTTTGCTGTGTAGAAAGGTCGTTATGAAATAATTCTTTAGACTTGAAAAGATTAAAGTTTTTTTTTTTTTTTTTTTAATGCTTATTTTATATCGCTTCGAGTCTGATGAGACTATATGGCGATTGATCAAGACTTTAAAAATGGTTAGATCTCACCATTCTACCCAGCCAGGAATCGAACCTGGAACCTATCCGTTGTGAGGCAACGGCCTTAAAAAGATTAAAGTTTGATAATTTGTTTGAATCCAAGACTCGACTGTTTTTACGATAATTTGACATCTCTCATTCCAACCCATTGTTACCACCCCAATAATTTCAAGTAAAAATTAGTTATTGGGCTTTCGTATCTCAAGTATTAATATTGAAACACTGCTTTTTCCCACTGACTTTCTTGGATTTTCAGTATGTAAGTAATGCTCCCAAGAATTAAGCTAGATTTGATAAAATATAATTTACTATTTCAGCTCCTTGCATAATTTTTACTTAAAAATATTTTGTTTCTTTACTTCACAGTCTCCAATAGTCGTATGGAAAATGAAAGCCCCAGAGAAGAAGCCCCTGGTGCGACCAGAGCGACCTGAAGAAGTACGAGCAAAAGTTCGCAAGGGATCCCAGAAAAAAGTTCAGAATCCAATCCACGCACTGTCCGAGTTCCAGAGTCCAACCGAGAGTGTCTAAATTGGAAAATCCAATTAGAAACATTAGATAGTAAGACAATTAAAGAAGAGAAGCCGCTGTTACTTCCCCCTTTTGTGATTTTCAGAGGCAAAAGAAAGATGAGGGGATTTTTTGATATATTTTTTTGAATTTAAAATCAATTTACACACATTTTTGATTCTTTAATCTTCCAACACTTGTTTATCCAGCAGTCATCATTGATTTGTTTTTCCCGCATGCAGTATTTGTGGAAGGAGGAAGAGCCTGCTTTATTCAAAGTATTTAAACATTTAACGAACAAAGAAGAAGGAAACAATGATTATAAATGTATATATATAAGTGAGTATAATTTTTATATTTATCGTTTTGAGAATATTTGTGGGTTCAAACAATTGTTTTTCAAACTGAAAAGAATGTTGCTGTTCAACTCAAAATTCAATCACATTGAAGAATTATAATAGACTTGGGCAATCTTCACAATCATGAAAAATGAAACGAAATGAACAATCGCACCAGGCCTAATTGATTTATACAATTTTCTATCAGGTTTTATATAAACATTCGCTTTGAGATCATCACATATCATATTTTTTTTATCTTAAACCACCAACATTACTCGTCAATACAATATTTCGATCTATTTCTTATGATTTTCCTCATTGTTTCTCTCATGAACATGTGGCAATGTGAATAGATGATAATATTTAATTTCTAGATTAATTGAATAAACTGAATGTAATCAAGCATGAAGGCACAATGTCTCCATTAGTTCTCCTCTGCATCATTATCTGCACAGTATTTAAACGTTTTACTTTGCATTTAACTTTAGATATCATTTGTATTAGCAGAATTTTAACATGATGTATCATGAGACGATAATATAAACACGTATTTGTTATTGATAGATTATAAGCTGCCAAATAATAGATGATTTCTCTTTTTCTTTTTCGCTCGTCCGAATCGAGGGATTAGTTGATTCGCTGGTAGTATGATTCACCTGTCCTTTATACATTTATATTGTACTAGCATTCGCATCATTTTCTCGTTTTACGAAGTAAATTTAGCTCAAACCAATGATGTTGAGCGGGTTATCGATTGGTTTCGTGATGTAGCTGTAAATTCCATTGTAAACCCAATGTAATCGGAGTAGTTTGAAAAATAAAATTTTACACATAATTATTTCGATTTTCTTCATGGATGATTTGCTGGATATTTGCTCTACACTGAGAGAAAAACAAACACGTTGTCGAACAAGTCTTGTTTGGGCCAACGAAATCGCTAGTTGAAAATTGNGCAATATCGTCTTTAACGTGTGTGGGGTTTACAGCATGAGCCGAAGGCGAGTGATGTAACCACACACGTTAAGGACGAAATTTCCCAACAAGCACTGAACAAAATTTTATGTCACGAAGCCTGAAACCGAGTGAATTAGACACGAGACGCGAAGCGTCGAGTGTGTAATCCAGCCGGTTTCAGGGATGAGTGGCATAAAAGAATTTATGCGACTCATGCCTGAAACCGGCTGGATTACACACTCGACGCTTCGCGCCTCGTGTCTAAAGAAGAGTACAATAGACGCGCGTTACTGAGACGCGTGTGTTATGACGTCCACGCAGTGCATTCCGTGAAGGTTTGCACGCAGGACCGTGCGCAACCCGCGCCAACAACTGCCAGTTTGTTTTTGGTTAAGCGACATATAACCTATGCACAATAAAAAATGAACAAAACTCAATTTAAATGGAAAAAATTTATGTCTTCCAGGGAAAATACATGTCAACCGTTTTAGCACGACCTCAAAGATGGTAGTGATAGGTCTTCATTAATTATACATCTTTATGTATGTATACATAAATGTTGCGAAATGTAATTTGTATAATACTGATTGAATATGAATTTTTTCAAATTTTTCTCATGCAATTTAAGTAACAAATTTGATGATTGAAAATCTCTAAAACTATAGTATAGTCCTTAGGCAACTATAGATCATCTTAGAATTACCTTAAAAAATATTAATAACTCAGACACAGATTCATCAATTGAACTCAACTTGAATTGATTCAACACTTCACCATTTTTGCATAATCTACCGGTTAATGTTGTGCCCTCGATATGCAAGATTATACTGCCAAGGAGCTTGACCATTTCCTGTCGGAGAAATAAAATAATCGCGAAGAACATCGCGTTCTTCAACAGCAAGTCGAGAATTTCGAGCTACATCAGCGTTCCTGATTTCTCGAGGGATTCGTTGCCAATCAGACAATGCACTGTATCTTCGAGCCTCTTCCAGGTATGCAGCTTCAGTATCCATGATGCAATTGTGCAAGCATACTGTTGCATTGACTATGGAAGTTACATCAGACGGATGCCAAGCCAGTGTTCGATGAAAAATCTGAAATCTTGATGATAAAAGCCCAAATGCATTTTCAATACACCGCCGGGCTCTGGACAATCGGTAATTGAAAATTCTTTTCGCGGGGTCTAAATTATTCCCCGGGTACGGTGTCAATGTGAACTTGGTTAGTGGGAATGCTGCATCACCAACGAATTTGAAGTGTGTAGTTCTATCTGATCCTGGTAACTTTTTAGGAGGCGGTAGATCAACTTGATCTGCATTCAAAGCTGAGCACAGGTCTGAATAACCGCATACACCACCATCACTGATAGATCCTGTCAATGAATAAGATTTATCAGTATAAATAATTATTATTCAGTTGATGAAGACTTCACACCATATTGGCCAACATCGATCCATGTGAACCGGTATGAAGCGTCACATGTTGCCATCAAAACAATACTAAAACGTTTTTTATAGTTATAGTACTGAGTTCCCGAGCTCCATGGAGCTTTTATCATGACATGTTTTCCGTCAAGACCTCCCAGGCAATTTGGGAATTGCCACTTGTGTAGAAAACCTCTTGCTACTCTGTTCCATTTCTGTTGGTTCATGGAGGGAAGGTAGATTGGCTGGAGAGCCTGGTAAATTGCTCGGCAAGTCTCTGGTATCATGACATAAGTGGTTGATTTTCCCACACGGAATTGCCAGGCTTTAGATTTCACACTGTCGGCATGGGCTAAATACCTGGAATCGAAAGGACAATTTCAAGTACAGACTTGTTGGAAGTCGGGGAAGGATGCAATGGACATACGATAATGTGAGCGCTAATCGTAATTCAGTCTCCAAAGGCTTCCTCCTACTTGTCTTAAGCAAATGAGGCTTCACCAGTTCCACTAATGCATCAAATTGATCCGGCCACACTCGAGTGAACGAGAAAAATTCCTCATGATCAGTCATTTTCATTTCTTTAAATATTTTCTCATAATAACCATTATCGTCTCGACTCTGGTTGACTGGCCTCACCCACCATCTTCGAGAATTTCTCGTCTTTAGAGCTAACAAAATACTAAAGATGAAGGTATTTAACAGTAAACAACCGAGGACAATGGCATCAGAGTCTTCAGAATCCATCGATCAAATGCAAATTGCTTTGATCAATTTAATTTTTTTGATTGACACCCACACTTACTGACACGTTTTTCTTCCAATGCATACTTCACAGGAATGAGTTTTTCAAGTTAGAGAACCATTGAATTCGATTTTTTGTTTGAATAAAAATTTATTGAGCGTAGAATGAACAAAACATACACCCAGATCATTGATAAATCATCAGAGTAAATGAAACACTTTGGGGCCCTAAGATTGAAGAAAGTTTTTAAAGAAATTATGTGAAGAATAGTTACATTTTGCAAAATTTAGATAATAAATTTGAAATGATGCCAAGAAATTTTTATTGTCACCACTAACTTGGCAGGCATCAATAGTTTTGGAGGGTCCATGTAACACAAGTCTCTCCCATGAATCCTTTCCCAGAAATTTGATTTTATGAAAAAAAAAAAAGCCTTAAGAATTTAAAGGGTTGTCTGGTTTGATGGTATCACGAACAAGAACTACGTTCGGCCTATTAGAATATTCCAGGATTTTCTATAACAAAATGATAAACAAATTGAAGAAGTCGAGTTGAACGAAAAAGAAAATTACAACTCGTAATTTGTAAGAATAGCATAATGATCTAGTCAATCATTCGAGGACTCAGGCTATTTCTTCTTTTTTGACAGAGCCTCAGTGAGAGTCAAGACCTTGCTGATAAACTTCATTTTTGCATCTTCTGGGACTTTACTGTAGCAATAAGCCAGTGTCATCAATGGTTGTTGAGTAAGGTCAACAGCTGATGGTGAAGCTGGAGACTTAGCAGAATCAGGAAGCACAAGGGCCCTCGAGATGATGTTACGTGGAGTACTTGACAAGGTGGGAAGAGTTTTGCGGAGTTTTTTCTTGGGCAAAAATGCCCAAGTATCAGAATCATTGGAATCCAAACTCTCAGGTTCCAGCGATGCGATAGCAGCCTTGAACTTACAATTTTGAACTCTAGACATCAGAGACCTTTTAGTTGCCAATTTTCTGAATGTAGAAGTGATTTTACATGCCCTTTTGGATTTATCGTCAGTTTTCTGGTGAATTTGTTGAGCGCCCTTGTCGGTCTCATCATCTTCACCACTTGAAACTAAAGAAATGGGACTGAGGATCTAATCAGTGCCAACATGATAAATCAGTAGAGACTTGGTAGATTATAACAAGTGCATTAGATTAATTCTGTAGCGAAGTGGTAAAAGGACATAAGTGTATTTTCCACATCTTTTTAAAACTCGGATTATGTTGGTAAGGAGGGATTTTAGGCGATAATGTTAAGAGACCTTTTTTGTAGGTGATTAAATTTCAAACAAAAAATGTATTTTGACATTGTTGTCTAAAAACACTCCTCATCAAGATAATTAGAATTTTAAAAAGATGTGAAAAAATCCACTTATCTCTTTTTACCACTTCGCTACAGAATTCATTAATTATGCATTTATTGTGGAAACACGTGATTTTGGGAGAAAATCTCAAAAAACCTTTTTTTTAGCTGATAAAATTCCCAAGAGAAAATGTATCCTATCGTTTTTTGCTAATATCAATAATAAGCAAGATTATCTACAATAAAAATTACATTAAAAATACGAATTCACTTGTTATGTTTCCCCACATCACTATTGAAATGACCACTAAAATTTTACAAATTTCAATGATCTCGTCTGGTTGCTTCTTTTTTCCTGCACTTGTGGCTGGAGAACAGCCATCATCAATTGTACCACCATCCTCAAAGTCATCCTCATCTCCCACAGCATAGTCTCGAAGATAATCTTTGTCAAAATCATCGCCCATAGAATTCGTTGCTAGACTCCCAGGGCTTGGCAACTTTGACCTGAGGATCAACAAGTCTTGTATATTGATTTGAATTTTTATATCCCCGTGGAGAGTCGATGATCATGGTAAATTTTGACTCACGCTTTCATAGTGGTTTCCAAGAATTGTAAATCAGTGTAATAAGGCCAATGGGAAGTGACATTTACTGATTGTTGTTCTCTCTGGGATTCAGTCGTGTACATGTCGGAAAGAGCTTTGAATCTCATGAAAGCAATTATTGCTGTGAATTATTATATTGTTATGTCCCAAATGGATTACTCTTTTATTTTCACTGAGTTAAGAATTGATCTG